GGATATGGAGCACAATGAAAAGATGTTGCAGCAAGTGGACTAAGGCAATTGTGGTGTTTGCCCAGCTATGGAGTAACATGCATCTTGTCACCAGCCCACTGGTAATTTATTTGCCTTCTGTTTTTAGATCATTTATTTGAAGCCCAGAGGCAGCCTCCTGTCTGCCTGCATAGCACCCAGTTTAGACTGTGTCCCCAGCCTGTGGGGTGCTGGTACTCATGGAGTTACAGCTACAGGCAGGAGGAGAGCATCAAGTGGACAGCAAGTGGTGGATGCATTAAAGGACAGGAATATGAAAGAATTGTTGTTAAATTAAAAGAATAGAAAAATCTCCTTTAATTAAAGAGATATTAAGTATAGGCAGAATTCCTGCAGTATCCATAATGAATAGAAACCAAGAATACTTCACATAGTTGAATGGGATTATACACAAACATTTTTTGTTTTATCAGTCAGGAGCTCTCGCCTTCAGTTACAGGAATCTTAAGAAGTGTCACCAAAACCCAGCCAACTATGTGAGCCTTGGCACACAGCAGCCTTTTAACAAATCACACCAATGTAGCATAGTCAGGAGGTAAAGACAGCCCCAATCAAAATGACCCAAAAAACACAGCAGCTCATTAACCCTGGGTGAATCTGTCCCATTCAAAATTAAGAAAAGTTTTTATGATGATTATTGTGGTCATGTTAATGACTAGAAGATAAAGCCTCATTAAGTCTCAGTTTGATGCTTTTCCATTCTGCTGCTGCTGATCAGCCCCCCTCAGTGTGCAGAGCACTGAATTTTCACCACCATCTTTAAGACAGAACATTTGGCATCACAATGTGACTTGGAAATTGTGCTGGCATGGCAAGCAGCGCTTCTTCAATATAATATGCAAAAATCACCCAGAAACCTCTTGAAGGGTTAACAAGGCAAATCTTTGAACAGTTAATAATATCATCCTTGTCAAAACATACTTCTCCTATCACATATTTCTTTACCATACCTAAAGCTATCCTCAGTCCTCCCCACTAATCCTAGGCAGTGCTGAGCAGTCACATTCCTCCTGCATTGTTTAGAATGAATGTTTACTCCAAGGCCTAAGTGTTCTCAAAGAGAGAGTGAGAAAATGGCAGCTGGGTCATGTATATATTTTTACCACATATTATTAATGTGGGAGTTGGCTCCTCATTCAAATGGGAACTGAAGACTAAAGCAGACACTGTGTAATGCCAAGCTCAGGAGAATGCTACCACGTGGAAAGAGATATTACTTTGCTCTCTGCAAGATCTATTCATCTATACAAAACCTGTCAGTTCATGGCTTTATATGATTTTCCACATATGTCATAGACATCTACTGGGAGCAGGCTTTTTAACTGCACCGCTGAATCTATGCAAACCTGAATGTTTGTGTGTGTATACATTTCAGAAACACCCAGCTGAGTGCCAAATTTTGACTAATTGACTTTTACTGGCAAAAATTCCTCCCTGTTTAATAATTTTTTGCCTACTTTGCATCGTGGCTGAGTCTGTCTTTACTGGCTGACTTCTCCCTCCCTCTTGTTTATCTTGCTGTTATTTATCAAGTGAAACAAGAGGAAATGCCAGTACTCTTTTCATTTTAACTGTCCATTCTGTTATGCATTTTGGAAGACACATAAAGTAGGAGGGAGGTGACAAAATAGAAATTGAGGAATGTGTTGCTATACAGTGCCTTATCTAAATTAGTGAATGGCTATTTCCCCAGGAGAATATTTTGTCCAAGAGTAAATAGTCTTCCACTCTTATAGTTATCTGAGCATTATTTTAATGTACTCTTTCCAATACTCCTGTGAAGTAGCCATTAGCAATTATTATAGACTATATATAATTATATTATCATCTTTATGATACAGATTGCAAACACAAAGAGAAAATGTCCATCGCCTGTGTAGACTGACTTCCTAGGAACAATTTAGACACCAAAGTAAAAAATGTACATTATTTTATCCTTTATGTTACCCTACAGGCATAATATAATAAAAAAATCACATTTTTACAAGTGAAGGTTTATCTCAGCAAACTGTTTGAAATATAATTTTCTATATAATATAATTATATTAATATTAATATATTAAATTTTAATTTATCAATATCAATGTAATAATTAGAATAATATTAATAATGTAGATATAACATATATATTATACTACATAGTATCCTATCGAAAACCTGTGAGTGATCAGGAATGTCTAATGAGATTCTCCTCCAGCTACAAAGCATGAGGGGGATCTGATTTAATGTATGCACTCACAGAATACACTACATGACTACTGTGAGCATATCATACTTAAGCTGTTGCATTCATTAACACAAAGAAATGGCTGTAACAGGGTTCTTCTATTCAGGCTTTTAACAGAATGTTTGCAGGGTTCAATTCTCTGTTCTTCTGAGCAAGTTTATGCCCACAAGTCCTGCCTTCCAGCCTAAGCTGTAGGTTATTTGGGAGAATTTATGCTTCTGCTCCCCCTCACAGCCACAGTTTTCAGAGAATTGGAGAACTGCCAGCACTCAGTTCCAGTGGTTACAGAAGTCCCTTGGAAGCTGGAGACATGGTTACCAGATCTTTCCCCAAGATTAGTTTATATATTCTACCTGAAGGCTGTTTCATTGTCATCATTTGTCTGGTAATACAAATCACCAGTAATATTCACAAGAACTCTTTTGTTGGTTCCAGATTCTTGATGGTTCCCATTTTTAGGAGTCAAAATCACTCTCCAATTTGAAGCTACTTCCCTCAACAGCATCACAGCACTGGCATGAGTGAGGCTAAAATGCACCTACACTGGAGGGGGGAACGCTCCAAGGAGGGTGACATGGCAAAGAGGGATGGATAAAAGAAGATTCATTTAGGAATGAATGAATGAATGAATGAATGAATGAATGAATGACAATATTTAAACAAAATACTTGCAGTGTATTCAGTAGAAAACCTAGTGTGGGGTCCCTTGGGAAAATGAGGGTATCACTTCATAAATAGACATGTTGTAGTACCAACATGAGAGTGAGATCCTCTCATACACAGACAAGATGAATTCTGCAATTTCTGTTAAAGTGCTTGCTTTTCAACCCAAACAGCATTTATTTGAATGGCACTTAAGGATAAGTAAAGACAAAATGAGTAAGAATATCATGCAGCATACCAAGTTGGGTCATTTCTCCTTGCAAGTGGCTTAACTTAAGGCAATTGAGCCTTTGCCTCATATTCCTGTAGAAATAAGTTTCAGACAACGTTCTGGTTTTCTTTGTTTTTTTAAAGAGAGTTATGAAAAAGCAAACCAATAACTTTTGCATTAAAGTAATTAGCCTAGAACACCGGTGTCAACATAAATATGATTAAAAAGTGTAGCTACATGCTATGTAAACTATTGCTGCACAGAAGAGCGTGAGGAAAGCTAAACAACATGAGCACAAGAGAAATTTTAAATAGGGCTTGAAAGAAGAGAAAATTCTTATCACTTCAAAATCACTGCCTCAAAGCCAGTGAGTCTAAGCTGAATAAGTACTATTTAATCTACCTACAAATAAGATCTAATCATAGATGGCTGGGTCACTATCATTCTCCAAAGCAAGAGAAAACTTGCTAGCTCATTTGAGAACACGTCTTTTCTTTTTGTGCAGCTGGATTTTTGGCATACCATAGCTCAGCCCTGTTTGGAGCCTTGTAAAAATCACTTATCTGGGCCTATCAGTAGCCAAATGGAACACTGCGAACATTCCCGCTGGAGCTGCCAGAGCAATGACGGCTCCCTGAGGATTAACTTCACAGTTAAAAAGAAAGCAAGCCTGTGTTACCACTGCATAATGGCCTTCATCTGTAACCTAGATCTGAGCTGGCTTCTTTCAAATGCTTTTTCACTGTGCTATCAGGAAGGGAAAAAGCCCATGCAGTTTGCAGGGAACTTCACAGGATCAAATGGTGCCCATAGGAGCCCACCATCCCTCCCCTGAGCCCTTCTGGAGCCTAAGAACAAGGAAAGGTCTCAAAAAGCCTTCCTGGAGAGCAGTGAGGGGCAGTCCAGGGGGCAGGGAACAAGCACAGCTTCCTCATAAGGAAACAGTATGAGGATAAGCACGCCCTGTGTGCTCTCCCTGGTGTGTGGATTCGGGAACAGAAGGGGGACGGTCGCTGCAGTTTCTGGTCACTGTGCCTTTGAGAGCAGGAGCCACTCACAGGGCAGCCCAAAGTGCTGCCCACTGCAAACATCAGCGCCTCTTCCTGACTTCTGCCAAGGGCTGGGTCTAAAATAAAGCCAGGGAATGTCACCTTAAAGGCCTTTGCCTACCAGCTTGTTCTGTGCCCAACAAAACATCGCATCTCCCACAGCCACTTAGGCCTTTCTACCTAAAATATAATAGAGCTTTTCCTGCTGACAATCTTTCAAGTAAACTTCTAAAATGAAGGATGACACAGAGCCTGAGTCCACCAATGCCTGTGTGCATAAATATTTTTCTTCCCATGGGACAGTCTGTTGGTAGAGCATCAGTCACATGTTGGAGCAGGAAGAAATAAATCCCTGAGCTCATCAACACTGAAGGCCAGTCAGTACAACTAGGGTACAACTGCACTGACCTCAGAAAAGGGCAGTGTTGAATTAATGTTGAGTAATTAGAAAATGATACCACATTTATCTTGAGAGCTGTGGACTCCTGATGACTTGGACCACATTCTGACTCTTTGTGGGAGGTTTATCAGATGCAGAGTAGAAATCTGAAAGATAACTTTGGACCCGGTCAAGGTAGGTAAGTAGGAAAGGGGAAACTCAGTTTAGACATCTAATGGGAAGTGCTTCAGTTCAGAAAAAGCATTACTGTATAGTTAAAGAATTTATTAGAGACCAATCCCTCCTTTGCTCATCTAAACTGTTTATTTGATGTACTTGCATCTATTAATTTATTCCACAGCACGCCCAAGAAGTCTGCCCTGGTTTTACAAACTCTAAATCTAAGAAACATAATAAAATCCATCTCCTTACCTGCTCTGTGAGGAGCTCTCAGGTACGTGGTACATGAAGACATTTCCTCGAGAGGCAGCCCAGTGACTCGCCATGTTTATGATGGGACATGTGATAAACTGGTCACTGATAAAAAAGGAGGAGCAGAGAGCAGACACAGTTGCATAAAGGAAAAAAGGGAAGAACCCCCACAAGCAACAAACCTCTATCTAGATAGTTTTCTATTTCTAATTTTCCAAACCAGCTCATATGTCTGTCTTCAAATCAACTGAAGGAAAGCACATTCACCCTCTACAAGACTAGTACTACTTAGAATTCACTAGAAGTGCTGCTTGATGGAGTGTTGAACAGTGATAGTAAAACAACCAGATCTGACACATAAAATATATCCTGGCAAAAAAAAACCCAATCCCATTTTAGTCTAGTTTATAAGGGCTCATGCTTATAATAGGTTAAAGTTCTTTCTGGCACCACTAGGTTGTGAGGGCATCTAATAAGAGGTCTTATATATTTCCTGGGTTAAGGATCAATAATATAATTTCTGAATTTGTATCTGTGAGATTTCTGCAGAGTTTCCAGAGCTGGAAGAGGTAAGAGACCACTTTTGAAGGTAACCTGCAGGGCTCATCAATATGGAATTTCTGGTGCAATATATCTGGGAGAGAAAGATTAACCAATAAGAGTGCAATGAGAAAGTCAAATGATCAATTTAACACCAGGTCTAAAAGGCACAAGTCAAGCAAATGTGTCCAAACCTTCCTACCTTTCCCTTGCCCTGAGAGGTGGGGTTGGAATGTGGGGTAAGCAGGAGCTGGAAGAAGCACGAGCAGCTCAAGAGAAGAGAGGAGACCTCAGTGCAATTTATCTCACTGTGATTCCTCAAGGCAACGTTATTCACACATGTATCACCACTCCCCATCCCTCCTGTGCCTGAGGACTCAGCCCATGCTTTGGGCGTTTATATACCTTTACCTAGATGAGTGCACACAAAGATATCTGCTGGGGAAGTGGAAGGTTTCAATTCTCAGTTTAGTGAATCTGAAACAGCAGCTTCTCCTTCAGACTTGGGAGGTTGAAAAAGAAAAAAAGGCTGGTGCAAGAACAAACAGTGTCAGAGAAGCATAACGACGTTGCTATTTTTAACTGGAATGGTTATGAAAGGCACTGTTTGGGTAGCTATCTTGGTTCAGCAGAGTTTATTTTAAGCTCATCTGTGAGACCACAAGTTTTGGGCTGACTGACCACAGGGCTCTTTGACAGTTATGGTTGACAACACCCAAATGAAACAAAAGTTACTGCTCTTCACATGCCTACCAGCATGGGGCTTTAGAGGAGCAGAAGGTCATTGAAAACTAGGGAGTCTGGGGAGAGCAGTAACTCTCAAGAAATGCTTTGAGATACATTTCACCATTTAAAATGGATTGTCAGTTGGCACTATGGGAGGGGGTGGGGGTAAAAGTCAGCTCTTCTGAGGAAGTAGAAAAAAACTTAAATACATAGTAACCACAAAAATGAAACAGCTGTCCCTTACAGCCATGAAATACCAGAGTTAAAAAAAAAAAAAATTAAACTAATTTTACACGGGAAAAAAATACCAGAAAATTGAATCTAAAGCAAATTTAAAAGTAGAATTATTTTAAAACCACAAAATATGCACAATGTATGTAGTTTATAGCAATTTATGTTGCTTTATCACACTTGGTAATCCTGTTAAAGCTTTAGCAGTTAATTCCTGACATAAAACTTTTATTGGCTTACACATCTATGCTGGTAGTAAGGTTTTTTGTTAAAAAGAAACAAAACTAACAAGAAAAATCCCAAAACCAAACCAACCAACCAAACATCAAAAAAACCCCAGAACCAGTCCCCTGTTTTCTTTACCATGTATGTGATGCTGATATAAGTGACTCTCATTCTGTACCTACTGTTTCACCTCACTTTCTGCTGTTGTTGGAGTAATTTCCAGAGTGTTTGAAGCAAAGTATTAGCAGATGCCTTGGTCTCACTACTCATCCTTTTGCTTTGCCAGGAATAAGCTGGCCACTTCTTTCCTTAGCCAAGGTATTTGTCTCATCTCATAAAGGAGCAGGTAACCCGTACACCCAGGAGCTGCTGAGCCTGAGGAGCTGTTGGTGTATCCCATCCCTGCTGGAAATGTGGAGTGCCAGCTCTTACAGCTTTTCAAAAGTCAGTGTTTGCACCACACTGACCCCTGGGCTGGATGCCAGTGATCAAATGTGACAGCCCTGTGTTATAACAGCTCCTTATAGAGGGATCTCAGGGTAGAAAGAATGGTTAAAATGTAAGTCCTACAGTAGTTTATTCTGGCTTAAAACCTCACTGATCTAAAGAATTACCCCCAGGGGTAACAGAGTTGATGGAAGGAGACTGAAGACAAGTTCTGGCTTTGATGCCCATGGACCACAGTGCTTCTACAAGTACTGCAGGCACTGGCCCCAGATGTCATGGTGATGGGAGGCCCATCCCTGGGACAGGCTACAAAGGAGGACAAACGTGGCAAGATGTGCAAGTTGATAAATGGCACAAAGCTCAGCCCACAACTCTCTGGCTTGTTTCTTCCATGACCTCAGTGCACCGGCACACCTGGACCACCCAGAAACTACTGTCCACTTTTTGAGTCAGATGTTCCAAGAGAATCTTGGCTCCTGTTCATCTCCTGCTCCCTAAGGCTTTCCCAGAGCAATGTTCTGCAGCTCTGATGGAGGAATAAAAGGAAAACCCTGTCTCTGAGGTATTGTGGAGAGGCTCACAGTGGGAGCAAGAACACTGAGAGTGCAGATACCAGGAGGCTGTAGCTATGATGTCTCAGCTCAGGACACAGGTGGAACAGGTGGAACATCTTAGACAGGCCCTGCTTGACATCTTTGCTGGAACATCTTGGACAGGCTCATTAGGATTCAAGTTACTAGTTTATAAGCTGTATCACATTAGAAAAGTAAAGAGTTTTCACAATTAATCTGCTCATAAAGCAGAGACAGGAATAGGGGAATAGTTTTTTGATTCATTTCTGGAAAATCTGTTCCACTTAAACATTCAGTCCCTGAATTTGCTCAGAGGCAGAAAACAGGAAGTTTTCCACTTCCACCTCCTAAAGGTCCATGGAGTGTTTCAATGCAGAGGATGGGAATGCATTTAGTGGAGGAAGGCTGCTCATTCCTCTGCTGACATGCATGAGGTGCTGGACCTGAGGAGCCTCTGAAGGAGCTGGGGGTGTTCAGACTGGAGAAAAAAGGCTCAGGGGGAACTTTGTTGCTCTTTACAACTGCCTGAAAGGAGATTGTAGTGAGGTGAGGATTAGTTTCTTCTCTGACTTAACAAGCAAGAGGAAATGGCTTCAAGTCATGGCTGACATTGTGAATAAATGTATTTTGCAGCCTTCATAATAAAAAAAAAAAATGTAATTGCTGAAATCAAAGTTTTCAAATCTGACCACCAAGAAAAAGTATCTGACTGTATAATTAGGGGACTGGGAATAAAAGGCAGACTATTAATTCTACTGTCACAGGGATGAGACAACTCAAGAAACTGTTGATGCACAGTGTGCAAGCAACGCAGACAACTGTGACATGAAAATGCAAAAAAATTGAACTCAAAATCCAGCTCTAGAAAGACTTGTCAAACTTCTCACAAGGCATAAAAATCAGTTCAATTTTTGTTTACCAGTGCTATTAGAAACCTCAGAGAAAATGAAATCGTATTCCCCATTTTCTGTTCATTTGCATAAGAATGCCTCAAGTTTTTCAGAATATAAATGCACACTTTAGATAAGCAAAACAAACCTTGCTCAACTCCAATCACACTGTTGTAGGAGGGTGACTTTCTTACCGGGTGGCGTTTTCCAACGCCCTGGAAAAGGATGAATAATCATCAGTTGAGTGTTCCAGGGAGTAATACCATGTAGCTGCATCTTCAATGAATGAATTGGACTCTTCTCCTCCTAGAGAATTTTGCAGAGCCTGATAAAAGGCTGTCTTGCTGTTGGCTCTTCCTTGACTTTCTTCAAATTTCTGAGAAAAAAGTGCGTACATGGAATTCAGAAACAAAACCAAATGATAATTTTTTTAGTGGAACAATGTAGGCTCAGGTCTCCCTCTGCTGGAACAAGTCTTCTCTGCTGTGATCTCTAATTCCTAGGGGATTGAGTAGGGGACAGTCCTACTTTGGCTTTCCCAGCGCTGTCACCAATGAGAAATACTGGCATCCTCTGGACACAGAGCCCCTGATCTAGTAGATCCAAACCATAGGTACCAAACTGTGCTGATGGATCTCTGATAGTACAGAAATCCTGCTGGCTCTCACAGAAGGGGTTTCCAGGAACAGTCCTCCACTGCATGTGTGTCCAGTGCTGTCATTCTGATGATCTCCATGAATAAAACTAGAGGGGAAGGAGGGAGTTATTGTTCTTTTCCTTTGAAAATCCCAGAAAGCAAACATGCTGTATAGACCATTTCATGGCTATGTCACCTCTTCTGGGAACACCTACAAAGGAACATGGCTGCTCCAAGGTCTGTATTTAGGTCCCTTCTGGAATAATAGCTGCCTTAGACGTGGAAGATATTCATTCCTCCAAATCCCAATGCAGGAAAGAGCCATGATCTTCAAACTTCATGACCCCTAGGGCCTTTCAGAGAAACCAACAGGGAAATGCCCTTTTTCCTGAGATCTGAAACCTTTCCTAACATAAAGGCACGTTCCCCAGAGCAAAGTGCCCACGTCACAGGGACCATCTTCTACACCAAACTGTGGACCCAAACATATTTTTACCAAACCTAAAGGCTGCTGGAATTTTTCAACACATCTTTCCTTGAAGAAGTTTTCTATGTTATCAGTTGAAACTTTACACTTTTTTAAAAAAATATTTCAATTTCAGAAACAAAACATCTTCATGAAAAAAAAATTAAAATCTACCCTGAACTTTCTTGTGCATCAAGTCCTTTCCAAGAGGACACTACACAGGTGCATATTGCTTGAAACTTGGGTAAGAGCTCCAGAGAAAAAGATCTAACAAACCACCTCTATTATTTTGGGCAGTCAGTCTGATGCAAACTAGGCCAGTGTCTGCCCAGTTTAGTTGCTGTAGATGCTTTACTTAATATATTATTTTGATGGCCCACAGCTGGTTTTCATCATGCTGCTAGAAGGTCTTTCCACAACCTTATACAAAAAGTACAGATGGAATAATAACTTTTCAGTAGATTCACAGAAATGAAAGATGGAAAATAAGTTCCCATGTGCTGGGGCTGAGGTTTGTCCTTAGTATTCTAACACTCTGTGCATTTTGAATAAGTGACTTTAAGGGATTTGAAAACTCTACCAAGTATTCCAAGGTCCAAGAAGATCTTGGAAATTTTCCTTGTATTTTTAATAGATTCTTCTTTTGCTGGATTTTGGCCCATGCAATGTGAAAGAGTCATGTGGTGCCAGCTTTAGTAATACAGCTGTACTTTGAAAAAGATGGGGAGCTCACTCCTGTCACATCACTTCATGTGCACAAATGCCACATATGAAACTGCACAGCACTCTTGCCTGTTAAATCATTCAGCTTAAAACCAGTAAGGACACACATATTCTTCTGCAGGAAATAGAAATGATCACTGAAGATCAGACTGCAAGTTCATTGAATTCAAAAGCAATTTTTCCATCACAGATTTGGCACACATCAGTTCAGGTTGCTCCTAACCAGCAGAAGCATTGCTTTGTTAAGAATCTCTCATTTGAAGACTGGGGTTAGAACTTGTGGGTGAGAAAAGATGATTTTCCGTAGCAGAGCAAAGCCCAATCTCCTGTGTATAAATCAACCCATACAAGAAACTTTCATGCATGGCTGGCTTTTTAAAAGGGATTTGTTAACTTGTTCTACTCTTGTCATGGATACTTAAACCAGAGAGAAACTGAGAAAAATCTTAGTGTATTGATTATGAACTTAGGAAGTGATCCATCACTGTCTCATCAATGGTCAAGTATCGAATAAAGGTTATGGTTGAAAACCACAGAGAAGAGGATGGATCATCATACACCAACATATGGTTAACGTGACAAACTCCCTGTCAAATGCTTTCATAAATGCCAAAAATTGGTGAAAATGAAGTTTCATGAAACAGTTTTTGAATTAAAAAGAAAATCTAAAACCAAAATAATTTGGTAGTTATTAAATACAGGAGGATAAGTTCAGGATAGGAAGTCCCTGAGCTGTGAAATGCTAGAGGTTTGGAGAGTTTTTACCAAAAGTACCAGATTTGCTTTCCCTATTCTTACAAACAGCCTCTTTTAACCACTGCTGAAAACAGCATTTTGTGCTGAACAGCCCTTTGATTTACTCAGTGTGGTCAGCCCTAGGTATTTAATGTCAGAAGTCAATGAGAAGAGGCAGAAGGCTGGCTTGGCAAAAAAGAAAGGTGTATAGCCAGCTGAAGCAAGGTGATAAAGGAAGAATACAGAAATGCTGCTTGCCACTGTAGGGAAAGAGTTCATTTGGCCAAAGCTCAAGTGGGGGCGAATCTGCCAGAAATGTGAGGGGCAATAAAAAGTGTTTTTCAAATATATTAATGAAAAAAGGCAGTGTAGAAAAAAAAAATAACATTGACCTTTTCCAGAATAACGATAGTCACTTCCTCCACAGGGACATGGACAAGGCAGAGATGTTCAACACTTTCTTTGCCTCTGTCTTCAACACTGATGATGGACAATGAGGGCCTCAGTGCCCTGAGCTGGAAGACCATGACTGTGAGAATGATCAGCTCCCAGTCGACTGAAATTGTGTGGGATCTGCTGCTCCAGCTGGATCTCTACAAATACATGGGGCCTGATGGGATTCAGCTGAGAATCCTCAATGAGCTAGCTCATGGTATTCCAAAGTCTCTCTTGATGATTTTTGGGAGTCTTGGGAATCAGGAGAGGTCCCAGCTAACTGGAAGTTGATGAACATTGTCCCAGTTTTAAAGGAGGACAAGGAGGACCCAGGGAACTACAAGCCTGTCAGTCTCACTTCAGTGCCTGGTAAAGTTATGGAGATTATTCTGGGAGGTATTGAAAAACACCTGAAAGACAGCACAGCCATTGGTCTCAGTCAGCACAGCTTCATGAGGGGAAAGTCCTGCCTATCAAACCTGATTTCCTTTTATGACAAGGTAACCCCACCTAGTTGATCTGGGAAAGCCAGCAGATGTAATCTCTTTGGATTTCAGCAAAGCTTTTGATGCTGCCTCTCACACAATCCTTCAGGACAAAATGTCCAGCTTTCAGCTGAATTACTGTGATACATGATTGGTGAGCAACTGACTGATGGGTCAGGCACCAAGGGGTGCATGGAATGGGGTGACATCAGGCTGGTGGCTGGTCCCTAGTGGGGTTCTGCAGGGCTCCATCCTCAGCCCAGCTCTTTTTAACATCTTCTTTAATGACCTGGGCACAGAACTCGAAGTTTGCTGATGACACTAAATTGCTAGGGCAAGGGAGGGGAATGTCCTGCTCTGCTCTGCACTGGGGCTGCCTTACCTCAAGAACTTTGTGCAGTTTCAAATATAAAAATCTGCAATAATATAAATAATATGATAATTATATAATATATAATATATTAATATATTATATAATATATAATATATAATATATAATATATAATATATAATATACAATATATAATATAGTATATTATATAATATATAACAATATAATATTTATAGTAATAACATAATATAATTACAATATTATTCTAATATAAAAATGCAATATAAAAAAAGATTTTAAGAGTGCATTCAAAGAAGGATCACAAAGATGGTGAAGGGTCTGGAGGGGAAGGCATATTGAGGAGCAGCTGAGGTCACTTGGTCTCTTCAGCCTGGAGGAGACTGAGGGGAGACCTCATTGCAGTTACAATTCCTTTGTGAGTGGAAGTGGACAGTCAGGCACTCATCTTTTCACTCTCAAGAACAATGACAGGACCTAAGGGAATGACCTGAAGTAGTGTCAGGGGAGGTTTGGGTGAATGTCAGGAAAAGGTTCTTCACCCAGAGGGTGGTTGGGCATTGGAACAGTCACAGCACTGAGCCTGTCTGATTTTAACAAGTGTTTGCTCGATGCCCTCAGGCACACGGTGGGACCTTTGGGCTGTCCTGGGCAGGGACACAAGTTGCACTCAATCTTGAAAGGTCCCTTCCAACTCAGTATACTCTGTGATTCTACTCTATGATTCTGTGATTCACTGTGCCTATGTACAGATTTCTGTGGTCTTCAAAATGCCCCAAAAACTGCAATTTTCTCAGAATAATTTCATATATATATAAAATATAGCACTGTGAGGCCCTCAAGATATGTTGACTCATGAAAAGAGGGCTCAGGCAGAGATGGATGATAAAGAGAAGATGGTAAGATGGTAGGAATTTTCATCCCTCAAACAGCACTAAAATAGCACAACCTGAAACAATCTCTTAAGCATTGCTTTGGCTACAGTATAATTTAAACATCTGACTTAAAGATAATAGCCAAAATCAAAGCAATATGTTCAAAGTAAAATTCATTAAATATTAAAAGGACAAAATATTTTAACTTCTCAGAAACAATCAATTCAACCGATTTTCTATGTCCAACATATGTTCCCGTTATAAAATATATGACCAAGGAACAATTTTCAAATCACAGTAGATACAGCAACTGCTACCAGATTAATAGAAACAGCTGCACATCATGTAAAATAATTCACATTTTGCTGACTTTTAAAGAGGCATTAGGAATTGGCCTCAGAGTTATAATGGGATTTTCTAAGAAAGTATTTAAGAAAATAATTAAAGAAAGCAGGTGCACTTCTTTCTACTCTTCTGATGTTTCAAAATCATAAACATTGCCTAAATAATGAGTTAAATACTGTTTACTGTTCTTGTTGCTGCAGGATATCTTATGGAGCATATGAATGAAACTGGCCCAGGGTTTCACTTAAAAGGAAATTGTAGCAGTAGGTAGACCAAATATTTACATCTTCCAAGGGGAAAAATGTACTTTTCTGACAAACTGGACCAGTGGTAATGCTAACAGTGCACGTACAGATCTGGGGCTTTAAATGGCTTTTGACAAATACTGTCACAAGAGATGGTGAAAGACCTGCCACTATTCAGCAGAGTCTTCCAAGAATTCTAACTAGTTTTGATATGAAGTGAAGAGTTCATCCCATTCTCCTCACTGATGGCATTTATGGAGACATTTCTCCCCTGGTCATTACAATAAATATACACATATCTACCACCTGTTGTATATTGCTGAATACTGTTGTATATTGCTGAATACCTTTTTCCATAAAGAAATTAACTGACTGTAATAAAGTGCAGGATGGTAGTTCTGTTTGCTTACATGAGGTAAATAAACTAGATTTCTATCTACCCATTCCCCTATATCCTGGGTTTGGGTTCTGCATCAAACTAGATTATACTAAGGAGGAAAAGAAAAAGAAAATAAATACATGAATTACAACCTCAGTCTTTCAACAAAATCCTCGCAATGTGGAGATTACATAGTAGGTACTTAAGAAGTGGAGGATACAGACTGGGCTATACTGACCTCCATGCATATACAGAACATGAACATGAACATGCTCCATGAACAGAGACATGGAGCAGCATGAGTGAATCCATAAATGTAATGCCATTAGGTCCTCCCGCCTGAGCATCACATACAGGACAGGGACAAAATTTTGTCCAGTTGGGAATTTAAATCAACATTTTTAGAGGTTTCTGCTCAGCTGCCCTAATCTATGACTGCTCAAAGCTAATATTCCCTGAAGGTCTGCCATGGGAATTGCAGTGAATGGGTTCAGGCTTAACCACTCCATATGTCACATATTAGTGCATTATGGTGCCACTTGCCATTCCCTTAACAAACTGCTTTGTTTCTCACTTAGTTTCAACCTTGTGATGGCTGCACTGAGGATGAGTAGGAAGTGCTCCAGGAAGTGATGAATCTGTCTCAGTTCACATGAATAAGCATTTCAGTGAATGCCACAAAATGGACATTTCATGGGCATACTCTCTGCTGCAAACTGAGAGACCTCAGCCTTTAATTGTAAGCAAATCACACATAAATGCCTTGCTAGCACATGAGTGGTACCTTCTGTCTTACTGATACATTTTTAATAGCAAAGACCTTAATAGGCACAAGTGCAGTGTTGCAGTGGGAGTTCAGAGACACCCAGTGTACCCCAAGGCCAGTAAGATCCCACAGAATAACATGGTGCTAACTGGATTTTCCACCTTCTGGTCTGCTTGCAGTCTAGAGGTTTCTGTCTCACTTCTATGTGAGGAGTGTGAAGAGTTTATAACACTTACAACACTTACATGCAACTTCAGTCTAAGGTGATAAGCTTTCCATCATGTCTCAAGCTTGCTTGCATCCAAATGGCTAAAAGTGTCTCCTTACCATTTCCAGGATCAAAACTAAGAGAAATCAGGATTACTAGAGCAAGTCCTTGACTGAATTGCCCAGCACAGTTATTCCTAAGAACTGGTAGAGAAAGTCAGTAGGGGTTAAATGGTTTTACCCCTCACTCCTCACACTCTCTACACTGAAATCATCAGTCCTAAAGAAGATGGAAATTAGGACTTTGCCAGTTCCATGTGCTTTCCAGAGCACCTTTTAGCTATGTTTGTCTACTGAAATACATGCATGGATCTTCTCTCTGCAGAGCAGGAACACAGCCAGAGGTGGATTTTCACCCCAGGGAGGTTTGGATCCCTCTTTTTAGAACAGATTAAATACTTTGGGCATAGTCAAAGGCAAACAATGTAGATGATTGGGATATGGCATGGATTGTCTCAAATCTTCGAGGTCTATTGTGAGGAGAGGACATTTAGCACAGGTTAAAGACCTCTGGTGACATTTATAACAGAGGAAATGGGGCACAAACTTCCAAGTAACAACCACCATCTGCACTAGTTTTTGTCACTGTTGCTAAATATATCTGTGGCTTATCCAGGATTCATCATCAGACTGATTGCAATCATACATGGTCATGGCTGGCACGTAGAAATGCTGCTGAGGACCTGGAGAATGCAAGTTCTGAAGCAGCTCAGTGATGGAAGGAGCATTACACTTTCCCAGCAATTAATACCCTGTGTTGACAAGGGAGAAATCAGGAAACTTCAACCTTGCAGCAAGTCTTTAAGAAAACAACCCAGACAGGAATAAAACATTCCTATTCCCTCAAGTCCCAAAAACCTGAAGCCACAGAAAAATAGAAATAAAGGAAAAAGTGCATTAAAAAATCATTAGTAGATATGACACTTTCTTATGGTTGAGTTGCACCAACTTACTGAGTTCTCTTCCAAACTTATTTTCTGCAAGCCTTTAAATAAAAAAGATATTTCAGATTTTATTTTTGGACAGGTAACATTTTTCTGCTAAACTCTCATTTGCAAGTGTTTTTTCTTTTCATTTCAAACTGACCATGCTGGGATTTAGCACTCGTGCCTTTCATCAACAGCATGATTTGTTGCAAAAATTTTAATACAACACGGAATTTCATCTCAATTTTGCAGACAACTGTCTCACGCACAAACAGTGGTAAAGAATTTCACTTCCTAATCTTCATCACAGGACTTGTAATGAAGTCACTGAGGTTTGCTCCCCTCTCACAGGGTCTGGATCATTATCTGCAGGCCTCTGTCATCACACTATATCTTCTGTGCCTTTCTCCTACGACTTCCTCTTGAAATTGATTCCAAAAGAGAAAAATATATGAAAAAACAGAAAGAAAGTTCTGACAGAGAGTAAACAAGTAATATGAACTTAATTCAGGTGGGCCATTAATTCTGAATTAAAATGGTCCATGTGCTATTGGCCACCAGAAAAGAGAAGCTGGGACTGACATTTCACTGCCTTCTAAGAGGTGAAATCCACAGAGTTATTGCAAGATATAGCAAGAATGGACACAATTCTTTTTGTTTTCACCAATTTCAGTGAGGAAATTTAGACCACACATCAGGCCAGTGCTGCTCTTTATTACAGTTAGTCCATACTCACAATCATCTTTACAAGAAAGTATACTTCTAGGAGCAACAAAGGAAAAGACTGCTAAAAAAACCTCAAAATGCTGACTTAATCCTGCTGCACAGTGAAGAAATTTATAATCAAATTGCTTTTTTCTTTGTGAGATACTACTGAGATTGAAATATAAATAGGATTTTAAAGACAATAGAACATAAATACTAAATCATTTCTGGTCTCTTACTTTTTCATATCTCCCACAAAAATATTAATCAACAAATATTATTATGCCATTAGTCATCCTGACCAAGACTGGCCAGAGAAGGACAATGCATTTGCATATTTCTATGGAGCATAATTCACAACTTGCAGAAATCAGAAAGCATCTCTCCAGGCTGCATATGATTACTGTTGTCACTGTAATCACTGATACCATCGGTTCATTAACAGTGAGTGTCTTCCTACCTTAATTGCCTTGGCTCTGCTGATGAGACCATCTTGCTGAGCACTTCCAATGAGCAGATCTACTTTCTGAAGCTGAGGGCGCTGCAGGGCTTTAGCCAAAGGTTCCTGGAGGTAAATTCCATCCATCACTGGACCCCAGTATTGGAATGGGCCACTGATAGCTAGCAGCTATGTTGGCAAAAAAAAAAAAAAAGAGCAAGAATTGTGCCATTAATTCAGCTTACCCTTTAAATTCTATTTTATTTGTGCTTAGTTCAACTGATCTGATTCCCTTCAAGTGAACAACTGACCAGGTAATATAAATGCAAACTCATATTATACATATATCGATAGGAAACAATGATTTTGCTGACAGTCTCAGTAGGAGAAACAAAGTAAAGAGACCAAGAGAAATTATAGTCTTATAGTCACAAAAATGTTGTTTTAAACTAGGGATTGACTCCATGCTGGTCCTCATTGGAAAACTTATTGCCAGTAAGTGTTTTAATTTGTGGGTAAAGGATCCATCTCTAGAATTATTTATACTGCTGCTTTCACAAGCCTCCCACTTCAAATACAGAATACTGACATCCCATCCTGCTTTGTTTTCTGCATAAATTCTGTTATTAAAGCTAGAGACATTTGACTCTCCTCTAGATTAACACCCAGTGGCAGGCAAGAGGGAGCTGAAAGAAGGCAAAAAACAATATTTAGATTTTTTTGGAGGACATGATTAAAGCAGTGTAAGAGGAATTTAGTCTAAAGGAGAATCAAACTGCGAGTATTCATAGCTCAGAGCTGGATGTCATGGACAACAACTTCCTTCCACCAAAAATAGTCTGGTTCCTCTTCCACAAGGATTCAGACTAAATTATTTTTTAAGCTTTCTCACAGTTTTGTGTGAATGGAAACTTTCTGATTTCTTGCCAATGGCATATGTTTTGCTACATTATACCTTAGTTTGAGCATCATTGAGGACACGAGCAGGCAACTGGCGAAGGCAGGCTACAATTTCCTCACTGGTGGATGAAGGGCATCCCACATCTTCAGCCAGGGCTGCTGCTTGGGTCTGTGCTCTCCTTGTAGTAATTATGGATGCTGGAGAAAAAGCTGAACCTCCCTAGAAAAAAAACCCACAATATCAGACAACATATGTTGTCAGAACACCTGGTTTCCTGGTGCAGGTAAAAAAGGTGAGAAGCAAAATCTGTCCACATGCAGAATGTAAAACCCTGCCTTTTAAACTAAAATGAGTTCTAAAGATGAAAGTGAAGTTAGGCTGTTCCCAGCTCTTCCATGGTTATTTTGGAAAATTCTAAGTGTCTATATTATGTCTCTAACCAAACCACAAACCTTCCCAAAAACTTTGGTGGAAGGAGAAATATTGAGACAGGAGCAGATATCAAGAAGGTGCTGTGAGGCACATGAGGGAAAGGAGAGCCCATCTTACAAGAGGAGACTAAATGGAGTTTTACCACAGCTCTGATAAACAAGAACTGAGAGCAGGTGTGATGTCCACAAAGAGCTGTTTCTACCTCGGGACAATGCTGGTACAAGGACAAATGAGCATGAAGTGTTCACACTGAGTGTAAATCAACTTTGGCTAGAAACCAAAGATAACTAGCACAAGGGTCTGGAAGTGCTATGAACTGAGAAGTAGGAGCAAAAGACTAAAGGAAACTGCAGAAGATTAACCAGGGCATGAAGATCAAAACCAGAGCACTGGCTACAGTCTTCCTATAGCTGTGCCAACATAGCAAATGTTCTTAACGAGAAAGGATGGCACAACGTTTTTGAGTAAACATGAAAACTACTTGTTGACAATGCAGATAAATTCACTTGAATCTGATAAGATCTGACCTAGAACAGAAAGGTTGGGATAGGTCTGACATAGTTCAAATGACTAATTTCCAAACAATTGCATCAGTTTACTGATAATAGATGCTAAAATTAGCTTCTGTCCTCTAAAAAACCCCACAACCTAGATGCATGATATGAAAGACCCCAATCTATTGAACTGATTAACTTACTTTTTACAGAATTTGTTCAAAGCATAACTACAAGTCTTGAAAAGCAACCTAAAAAGAATCAGGAAACAAACAGCAAATCTTCAAATTGAAATGGTCTCAAACCTCTGAGCCCAAAGAAATCTGTGAAGTCTTGGCCAGCACCCAGGACTTTTTTTATATTTCAAACAAGCAGAGCCATTGATACTAATGGGGTACCATTGCTCACAACTAGAGAAATTGGTTTCCAAAAATTGTGAGAAAGAGGTTATTGTTTGGGTGCAGAGACAGTCTCTTTAGCTCACTGCGTGCAGAATTTCCAGTGCTACTACCCTCCTGAAAGGTTTCTCTTATTTTTTAACAGATCTGGAAAGCAAGCACTGTTATTAACTTAGTGATTGAGATGAAGATGCTTGCAGATAAACAAAGGAAAAACCTAATTTTTTAATCTGGGCCACAGTAAGGGCTACCTTGACTTTCAAGGGGGTGGAAGAATGAAGAAATAAACTCCACTTGGTCTTATTGTTCACTTCCATACTCAATTTTGATTGAGAACTCAAGTGAGCAATGGGCTTTATCCTCTCATGGGATTTGCAGTGGTCTATTTTGTGTTTCTAAGGCATGATATTTGCCAGCTGCTGACTAGGTGCACTGACCCAGCTGATCATGAGAGAGAAGGAAAAATATCTTTGATGAGACTGTCTTGTCTGTGGGTGGGTTCCCAGCACACAGAGTGAGAACCAGGTATTTTAACCTGGCCTTTGGAAGAGCAAGTTCATCAGGGCTATGATGAGTAAGACTAGAAAAGGGATAACACACCATGGCAGCTTCCCTCAGAAGAGGAGCTTCCTTGCATTTCATGCAATGCAAGGAATTATGAGCCCCCTCAATACAGCAGAAAAATTAAATCCAGGACTGCACAATATTTGCCCACTAATCTGGTAAACATATTCTTCCACATCAGATCTGAACGTGCTCAGCATACTTTATCAAGTGCCCAGTACCTTCAAATGGCATTCATTTAAAACAAAGCAAATCAAAATCATAACAAATTAAAGGGCTTCAGTTCCCTGAACTCCAGAAGTTTCACAAATTTTGAAAATGTCAGTTTCTGTGGAAATTCTGGAGTTGCCCTATGAAAATGTTAAGTTTGGTAGGGAAAGAGTACTGAAATCAGATGATACATGGAATCCAAAAAATTCACTGGAACCAAGCAACGCATCCTCGTGTGTGCTTGATTTTGAACACATTTCCTCCCAGAGAGTCTAAAAGCTATGCAAAGTTACCCTGTCGTGGGTATCTACACCCTGAAAGATTGCCCTGAGGTCATGTATTGACTAAAACAAAGACTGAAAAAGGTTCTGGATAGAAATGTCCCCCAAGTTCTCCACTGCAGGGACAGAACTAAAAGCCTGGGCAGGCAAATTTTCACGTCAGAGCACGGGATGTGTATGGGCTGGCAATAGATACAGTCAAAGCTCAATAAGTAAAACAAAGCCCCCAAACTTCTGCAAATACATTTCTGAGGGGAGAAGAGCTTGATAAAGCCTCAGTCTGGCTGTGGATATTTTGTTTCTGTGAGTGGTTACAACAGGTTTATTTGCTATTTATTCTGTACTTTTTTTTCCATTTTCCGTGTTTGCTTTCTTTGGTAACACAAATATTCAGGAAACAAGTCTTGCATCTAGGGTTTGAAAGAGACCAAATCTTTGGGATTTGAAAGAGATGGGGTATCTACTACTTTTAATCATATTTAATTTTTACTGGGACTGGAAGCATGGGATAAAGAAACACAAGGCATTGTTCAAAGAATATTTGAAAACAATACCATTATGTTTCTTTTCCAGGTGCATCCAAAATATGTTCCAGGCTTAAGAAACATGGCTCCTCTTAGGGCAGAAATTATGCAAGCAAAACTGTACCAGTTCTCCATTTTATAATTTCACATCAAAATTCAGGGTTGCTGTTTCTTCATTATTGCTGAAAAAAGCCCCTTCAGGAGCAAATAAGTGAGAACAGAAGCTGGCATTTCCCAGAAATTATTTTCTTTCTTTTTTGAGCCTGCAGTTGTCACATCAAACTGAAATCTTCCCTAAACACTGAATCCACATTACAGGTAGGCTCAGTACACAGAGAATAACAGAGCTACACTTAGCAGTTCTCTCTTTTACTATAAAACTGTAATTTATTTGTGTGATTAATCCCAGCAACCAGTAATGGAGGACTTGTGTACTTTGAAAAACAGGACCACTTAGGCAGAAGCAGAAATAGTGGAGGGCCTGTTTATTTCCATTACATGACACCCATATTACCATCAACATGACAGAATCATGAATCAGAAAACCAAAAATCATGAGATCATCTCAAGAATAACAAACACTGTGTTCTTTTTGTTACTCCTCTGTTTTTTAATTCTCCAGGAATTCTCCTGTACCTGTAACACAAGAGCTAAAAAATTCACTTTTAAAACTAACAACTGATATCTTCAAATATCCTGGCAGAGTTGTTTTTTGAAAGTGAATCTCTAAAAAAATTACATATACAATAAAATTTAGTCATTAGCCACTTTGTCATCACTAGGGGATCACTTAGAAGGGATTTACAGGGAACTGAGCCCACACACACTTCTTGTTTTAGCTGTCCTTGCAGATGGACCCACAACAAGGGGGAAGAGGAGACAGAGGAAGTTCCATTGATATTTTTGACACTGACCCAGTCGAAAGTGTTCAAAAGTGCTAAGAAGAAGTTGTTGTAGCTGTGTTACACAATCCACAACCACATCATTACACTGCTCTCCAAAATCCATAGGAATAGGAGGAACTTTACAGTTTTGAGCAACACCACCTACGGCAACAAGTGATGGCAATGAAAATGGGAGGCAAAGCCTTCGGTACTCTTTAGTTGAGGGACCAGGAGCATTGTCAGTATTTCTTCATTTCCCTTCTCAGTATTAGGGGCTCAGCTACACAGTAGAAATTCAAACACCAGGAAATGTTGCAGCTCACAAAGGTGAGAAGCAATGAACCAGTACTATGTGAATTCTCACTTCGTTCTCAGGCTGTGACCAGCTGAGTGACGCTGGTGCCTCTTGCAAACTTTTCTTTTGGGACATCATAGCTCAACAGACTTTCACTGGTGCTATCCTGGCCATCCCAATTCTACCTCCACAAGCTCTTGCTGCTGTTTTGATGAGATGATATAAAAGAATATATAGACCTGTGTTTGGTTTGTGTGGCCATGTTTTGGTAGTGAAGGAGTCTAAATTAAATAATTGCAGTATTGCAAGGAAGAGTGAGAGTGGAAAATCCCAGATGGTCATAATCATGCTTTCCTTCTCATTACCCTGCTCTGTTTAATTGGTAATAAATTAAACTAATTAAAATAAATTAGTTTAATTTCCCTGTCTGTGATGGTAACCAGTGGGTGATCTCTCCCTGTATTTATCTTGACCCATGAGAATTTCATTTTATTTTCTCTCCCCTGCCAGCTGAGGAGGGCAGTGACAGAGGAGTCCAGTGAGCAGCTGGTCCAGCCAGAGTCAACCCACCACACTGTACTCTGTATCTTTGTCTCACAACATATCTGGAAAAGACAATTGCCATATAAGCTGCAGTGATGAATGTCTTTTAATTCCCCATTTTGCTTGGAAGCTCACTTCTGCAAAATTCTTCAAAAATTATTCAGAACACATTTAATGATTAGAAACGTCACTGGAACTAGATTTTATCACCAACACTCTGCAAACCCAAATGCAGCTTCCTCTCCTCACATCGTGACCTCTTGTTTTTTCCAAACTGATATGAAAATGAAATTCTTTCTTCAGCCACATTGTTTGAACACATGCACTCCCTGCAAGTGAATGCAGCTTCTCTGATGGCTGCAACCAAAGCAGGCTTTCTGTGAGCCTTGCAATGCAAACAGCAATTACAGTAACACCACCCAAAAATGAGATCAAAAGACATCTAATGCAAACAGTCAGACCAAGGAAATGTCCTGAGAATTCTATTTTCCCAAAAGAGCCAGCTGCACAGCAATATTTTATTTGTTAAAAATAGGCACTCTCCAGGCTCAGATGCACACAGTTCCCAGCCAGAAGTATCTGTCAGACCATCCTGAGCTCAAGTGCTTCCTATCACTTAAAATACGGCTTGTGTTTCACAAAGCCTGGTCTTGCATGAAGCATTTCAACTGGGCTCAGAGACACAGAGAAACAGATACTGCAGCCTTCTCCTTGGTAGTCTGTGCCTAAGGATAATCACTCTGTGGACAGGCAACAGCACTTTATTTCTGTTTGAGGGTGTCTTCAGTTTCAGTTAATGCCAGATTAAAGATCCTGTTTAAATCCTGTTTTTTCTCCCTACAAAAATAAGCAAGCTGCACCTAAGGGACCACTGACTCACTTTCCAAATTAGTGTAGGAGATTATTCTTTAAAAGACTGGACTTAAAATATTTTCAGAAGTTGTTTTCAATTTGGACCCTATATGCTTCTTTCTTGCAGGGTTGTTTTCCAGTGTTCTTCATGTTTTTCCTTAGGTATCCAATATCAAATAGTGACAAGTGCTTACAAGACAACAAGGTTTCAGGGCTCTGTGTGATGACATAAATGTCATTTTTCCAGGTTTTAATGAAATCTGGCTTCAAGAGCCTGGAGAAATAGAAAGATTTGGGAGCAGCTCAGGGAGTCTCTGTCACAGCTAAGACATTTGGCAGGCACCTGGCAAACACCAGCACAGGGAGTGTAACAGGGAATGGTCAGGTCAGTCCAGCAATGGAAGGGGAGACTGAGAAAGAAACATTTTTCCCTCCATAATTGTCTACTAGACTGTAATTTTCATATAAAAATGGGGGGAAGGCATGAGTTCTCTCTCTTATGTCAAAAATAACATTTTGAAAAAGGAAGATTTCTTTTTCATATATCAGCCTTTGCAAACCCCTCTTTGCTGACATCAGAGGCAGCCCTGCAAGGACAATGTTCCTCTCACAAGTGACTCACAGAGTGCCTGTGTCAGGTTAGTGACCTGAATAACAGGATATGAATATTTTTAAGATGACATATAAAGCCCCACTTAATTCATACAAGCACTTTCTTCCATTTAGATATTAACACTATCTTATCAATTATCCTATTTGAAACAAGGTATTAGCTAAATGCACCAAAAGGGTAAATCAGCTCTCATCATTGCACAAGAGCAGACAGCCACCAGCAACAGGCAGAAATGACATGGAAATGGAGAATTCTGTCTACTGCCCTCCACTACAAACTCATCTGTTCCTCTACGAGCACCATATACACGGTGCCTGAGATTTACTATGTTCCCAGCAGATCACATTCTATCAAGCAAGTCCAGCTTCTCCTTGAGTGTGACCAATTTCTCCTGCTCAGTCTGAGACCTGTCCCGTTCCCAAGTGCATCTTAGGATGTAACCTTACTTCTTGTAAAGGCAGAGTCTGTCAGAGGCAGCCTCGGGCAGAGGGTGGTGAGAAGGATCAGAAAAAGGCTCTGCCTCTGCCGACTCCCACATGTACACATCCCCCAATCCATGATATTTTAGTAATTCCAGAGACACTGATCATCAGTTCAGTGAGTGCCATTAATGGACATGCATGTCACATCCTTGGATTTGAAGAAAGCAAGAAAGTCCTAAACAATCAAAATATAACTGGCCAGGGTAACCATGGGGCTGTGCTACAGACTGATTAGCTTATCAATTTCCCTAGTGCTTTCCTGTCCCTTTAAACTGAGGATTGCTGGTACAGCCCATCAAAGAGAAAGAATAGTCTCCTGAAATTACCAAATTACCAATTTTTGGCACAGCTTTGGAGATTTGATCACTGTTTCCTGGTTTCAATAACAGTTACACAACAGCTCCCACATAAGCACCTACTTGCAGCTACTCTGGTGTGAAGCAGGAAATCTGCTTGGGCTCGTTGGGTTATTTTTTCTTTGGGTTTGTTAAGGGTTTTTTATATTTTCCTATTCTATGTTAGGGATATGAGTTTTTCAGATCCCATCTTGATTATAAATGCAAAGGGCAAACCTTAACAAATCCCTTTGACTTCTATATTCATATCCACAGTACAATATTCTTCAGGGCCTTTATTCAGGTTATTTAACAGGCCAGTATCTTGGTTTCTCCATCTCAGACACTGAGATGAGGAAGGTCCTGAGGCTTCTGCACTTTTTACAACTAACATGAAAATGGGCTTCACAGACTGACTTTCAGTCCATATTTCTTCATTGCTGATCTTAAGCTTCATTTGCAGACAGAGGTACTTTGGGGTACAGAGTGAACCATAAAGCAAAGCATTCCTATTCAGACTCAGAGAGAAAAAAATGTTTTGTGCCTCTTCCTGTCTGTCAGGAAAAAAATAGCGAAACTACATAAAAGAAAACAGTTGAGGAATGAGCATTACTGGATAAATAAATTCAGAAGAAGAAGAAAAAAAAAATAAACCCTTTTCGTGTAAGTAAGTAAACTGTGTTATTCCTCTCATTTTTTATATCTGCTGAAACCAGCCCTGATGCAATACATTGAAAACCTCCCTGTTTTTCTCAGCCCATAGATAAAATGTGCCTTCAGTAGTGACTTGCAACAGGAACCTCATCTGTTGCAAACACTTTGAGCCTTCCTTATTTCTCAGAGAGGAAGTATGTGGCCTGTTTGGCAAATGCTGCTCTACATGACAGCGTGAACTTCACAACACACTCATTCGACCGGCTGCTCCTCGACTTGATCAGCTAAACCTTGCTGGCAGCATGAGAGCAGTACTATGACTACGGCTTTTTTCAGAAATACTGCAACCTGGAATGCCATGCCTAGCATTTAAAGGTAACCACTCTGCTGTGATATATTTTACATTATCTGCGTACGAGACCAAATGTTTCAATTTTATTTATGTACAAGGGTGTTCTGTTTCATTAACAATGGCAGTATTCAGACCGTGGATTTCAAGTACCACCAAAGGCAGAAAAAGAAGAGCCTGCCTTGATCCTTTTTATAAGGAGTGGTACTAAAGACAGATAGGACAAGGAGTATTTCTACTGAAACCTAAGAGTAAGATAGATGCTTAGGACCTTATGCTGAAGCAAACTGCACTTCACTATAGCCAAAAAATGATTAGTGGGCTTTTTAATCTAAGTGTTAGAAGTGTGCATAGTGTGATATTTCTGTGCTGTTTCATGTTTGCATGTGTCTATGAATTACTTTGATGAGAGTATTATGTTATTCTTTCTAAGTGCAAAGGTGCACAAACTGCCTCAAAGCTGAAAGGATGTTCATTTTGATTAATGACAAATTAAGGGAAATTCACACAAAAAAAAAATACAGTTTCTGAAATCTAAGTAATTTTGCTTTTTCTTTCCCCACATGAAAAAAACCAGGATGCCAGTGCTTTCATTTTCAAGCTAAATGATATTCAGATATTACCTGTTAACTTTATTGAGAATTAAATTACAAAACATTGGCAATATAGATGTGAATATCAGGAAAAAAAAATAAAATTTGGTATAGCATCTCAGGAATGATAAATGTTCTAATTTTACTAGACTACAGTATTCCTTGTAGGAGAGCTTTATTCATGTGCTTATATTGCATTTTTATTCCTCTTAATACTTTAATTTCTTTATATTAACTAATTCTCAATCATATTAAATATAACTTTGAAAAAGTTCTCACAAAGTAGCAGAATTTCTCTCATGTTCCATGCTATTTAACTGCTGCAGAAGCACGTTTTCTCAGAGAACAAATTCTGCAAGAGGAAGTTATTACTTTATGTATGTGCTGCATACAGGAACAGAAGGGGAAAATTGTACCACAGGTTTTGGGGTCACACAGAGTAGGTCACTGGAATTCCAGTCTTGACAGGTGAAGAATTCATATTTATTGAGAGTTCTGAAAAATAGGACACAAAGCAGGTCTGGGACTGTGGATGTTTCCTCATGTTCCTTTTGGCAGCAAAGATCCCTGAACCCTACTAGCTGTGCGTGCAAACAGCCACATTACCACCTCTCCTTGGACACTGTGTGCACAAGTGGAGAGGGGAGAGGAGGAAGGACCAATGCTTGGAACACTGCAAATGTGATCTTAATAGTTAAAACCAAATTTTCATGCAAGCCTGGGGAGGTGGCTGGTGAGCAGGAGAGCTGCAGGTGGATTTTGGTTCCTGGCAGCTCCTCGGAGCTGAGCAGCAGCTGCACTCCACACAGGGTTTGGGGTAGATAAGACACAGTGAGTTTAGAGTCTATCACTTCTCTTTACTTCTTCCTACATTATCCTAGGTGAACTGTTTTCTTTGGATCTGGCATAATTATCTGCTTCTGTGATAGAAAGATGGCACTTCTACTTGAATCCTGAACTCTGTCATCAAGTTCAGATATAAGGAGCAAAGTTTTTACAATGAGGGGGGAGAGACACAGATTGCCCAGGGAGGTGTTAAATGCCTCTTGCTTGTAAGTATTCAAAGCCAAGTTGGACAGGGCTCTGAGCAACCTGATTTAATTGCAAATGTCCTCGCTTATGGAGGGAGGGTTGGACTAGGTGGCCTTTAAATGTGCCTTCCAACCCAAATTATTCTATGATTCAATAAGGTCAAGTGAGATGCTCTGTCCTGAGAAAATTTGCTATTTCAGAAGATTATAATTTAAAAAACTGTTACTGTTATTCTATTGATACCAATGAAAATAATTAATTCATGAGATCTTGAAAGCTTCCAGTAAGTCTAATTTTGCAGAGTGTATCAAAATTTCAGAAAACCACACAAGAATTTATCATGCAGCGACAGAATGGATTTGTATTGTGCTGACAATAACACAAGCACAAGCTACTTAAGCCATCAAGTTCCATCACTCAAGAGTAAAGCACATCATTGTATTAGAAATATGACTAATTTGTACATTCTTACTCTAGAAACAGTGATATGCCATTGCCATCAAACAAGTAGAAACAATTTTTGCCTGCCTTATTTCAAACAAAATGTCCATGTCCCATTTTCAACATCTGAAGGTGTGTCATACCTCAGAATATTCACTCCACCACCTTTGACTGGACTATAGGAGCCTTTACCCATGTGCATAAGGACAAGTGGCTTTAGTAGCAAAACGCAGTCTGATGTCTTATTTTCCTTTTCTCCACTTTGGTTAAGTGACTTAACAGCAAGGGTCAGAGCTTTCCATTTTTTTATTTTTACTGAGCACTTCTGTTATGAATCTGGAGAGCATCTTGAACTCTCTGTCCCTTTCATGAATTTCTGCTACCAATGGTAGTGACAGTGAAAGAGCACGGAAAACGCAATGAGAAACAGCAAATTGCCACGCTAACGACGGCAATGCCCAAGACGTCACCACTCTTCGCTGCACTGAAGATATTTTATAATGTTTGCATTTTCCACAAGTCAGATTCTTCCACAAGGAGCTGCACATTATGCCCTGGTGACTTCTGTGGTCCTTTGACAATAATGGTGCCTGGTATGGCAGAAGGGAACCAGGCTGTGCTCTGCAAAAATACAAAGTAGGAACTTGCCTTTTTTCCAGTGTTTCATCCCTCTGGACTTGACTGTGGTTTAATTGCAAATGTTGTATAAGCAGCATTTCATACACTTCACGTATTTCTAAAGCAGCATTTAGAGTTTAGATCCTTAAACACCATCTAGAAAAACATAAGTGCCTTGGTGCAATGTTCTGTGCTTTTAGAAAGATTGAAAGCCTGCAGTAAAACTTTCAGAAGTCTTTCCACCATACACAAATACCACATATCACTTTCCAAAGAGACCAAGGCACACCTGAAATTAGGAGTAGAAAAAAGGCCACTGTTGCACAAGCCTGACACTTGAAGGATGACTTGCTTTTCCAGTCCTCAAATAACAAAACCCCACATAAAGTGGTACTTAGAGGTAGGACTCTTCATTTTATTCTTTTTTCCAGATTTTTGGGATGCAAAATTCAAACAATTCTCATCTAAATACCAACTGCATGTGTCAAAATTATAGATGGACTTAAGATGTTTATGCTGTCATTCTTGCCTTCTATCTGGAACTGCACATTTTTGGAACCTGCAGCTTAGATTCTATACACTGAGGAAGATTTGAGCTTCCCTTTTTAAATTACTGCAAAAATGTATCCACCAGAGCACAGAGCTCAGCAGAGGTTATCAGTCCAAGTATTTATCTCACTCTCCTGGCTGACATTTTCAGCCCTGTTGAGCTCTCTATTGCTGTGCCCAGGAAATTTTTCTGGCTAATTTGAAGATGAGCCATGAACATCTATAATATCTGTAGCCAAAATACTGGCTGCAGTACAGCTACTCCTACAAGTTTACCTCTTGTTCTTTATGGAATAAAAGTAAGGAAATTGTTCAACAAATAAAAATTGGGTCTTGCAGAAAAATACTCATAATTAAATCAGAAAATTATGATCTTGAAAGCAGACATTGCCTGACAAAGTGAATTCTGGTTTCAGGTTTAGAAATTTAGGTACATTTACATGGAGAAAGATTTTTTTTGTTCGTTTTCTATCAAGAGACCTTTTTTTAAAAAAATGTGAATACCCAAGTAGCTTATTTAAATTTAAGGGTGCTGTTTAATGCAGCTTCTAGATTTCTCCTATCAGGCAACACATTTTTGTTCTTGTGAAAGTCGGTTTCAGATGCTTGTCAGGAAGACATTGGCACAGCTGCACCCTCCAGATGTGCCACAAACCAGTTCTGAGTGCATAAAGTGAAGGGCTAATGTGTCATTTGGCCAGTGAAATAGAGAATTCTAGCAAAGAGCCTTTGGAAACAACACTAAGAAGCTTGGAAAGCAGATGAGGTGGAGTCAAACTGTGCACTACCATCTGTTCTAGCACATAGCTCCTTGCATTTGATAAGGGACGAATTTTCCTTGCTTCGAATGGCATTTTATTCTGTAGGATGTCTTCCTAAACTGTCTGTAAGCCGTTAAAAATGTATGGTATTAATCAACATACTGAAATTCTGCCAAACTTATTCCAAAAGACAATTAGCAGTAAAGTCTTGCTGATGTTAGCAGTTCTGTTTTCCAAGTTGGACATCCCTCCACCTGACCCTCATCAGGCTCTAGCCTGTGTAAGTGAAGAGCAGCACACCAAAATCAGTAATCTTTGAAATATTTAAGCTAGAAAAGGCCACAAGATGCAGAATACTCACACAATGCTGCTAGAGATCTTATATTATAAGAAATTATAATTTTCACAGGGCAACAGACAGAAATATATTTTAAAAAAATAATTACCCATCAGCTGGTGGTGTTATTTTGCATTAATGTACAGTTTTAAAATAGATATAGCTTTTTGTCTTCTGCCTCTGAAAATATACCATAGCATGATACTCTTCCACATTCAAAATATTTATCTCTTTGTCCTCTGCCAGAGAGAATGAGGATGGCTGCAGCAAAGCTATGAGAAGGAACTATTCCTCTCACAGTATTTAGTTCCACAATTGTCTGATGTTGCTTCTTGTACATCCACCAAAACTTTTTAAGACAGGTATCTGAAGAATTTGCACTGGTGGCTTTATGCAGGAGGACTGATTTGAGATCAATATTTTTTTATGCAAGGTGTTTCTTAAAAAAAATTGCCCACGTTTGCTGAGGGCACAATGGTGTCAGAAAAAAGCCCAAACCTACCAAGCTGTGTTCTTTGTGTTCAGTAGTAAACCAACATAATATACACACAGCACTGAAAAGCAGGGGCATCAGTCTAATTAGATCCTTTGTAGCCTCAGAACCCCAAATGCTGAAAAATCATTTTGTATATGAAATATATGGGCACAGCTCTGCTGTTACTTCCTATTGTGCTGAGGTACTGGTCATGGAAACTTTTACTACATCATGTTCTTCTGAGCAACTTCCCTAGCTGTGGTTTTCTGCTATTCCCCTGATAAAAGCACATAAGTGGTGAGAGTTTAGCAAGTATGTAAAACTCTTGCATGAATTTGACACCAGAGTTCTCAAAAGCAAAACTGTACGTTTGGAGACGCCCAAACTAGGTCATTTCTCATCTGTTGGCACAGCAGGTGTTACTGTGATGTTAAATTTCAATGTCTGCTTTGATTTAGTTCCGAAGAACTTGGACAGAATTAGCAAGCACAATGGGAAATGCTGTGAAAACTCCAAGAGCATCTGAGGAAACAAACACGCCGAGCCAAGCGGGTGAGCACTCATTTCGTTCCTTTCAAGAGAAAAAGATGTTGACGATATATGATAGACTCAGCCATGTGTCTTCCTTCACCCACCTGACAAGAGCAGGCAAGTTCATGGCTGCTGTGGGAGAAGGAGGGCATCCACCAGACAGTGCTTATATTTAGCTACGTTTTAACTCGTTTTCCAAGAAGCACTTTAATTAAAAACCCCAAATGTTAAACATATTATTTGCTGCAGCTCCTTGAAAGACGTTCCTTTCAAATCAGAAAGCATTGAAGCACTGCTTCTGAAACTGGGAAAGCTGTGTTTTGACATAATTGCATGCGATATTTTATACAAATTTATTCTTGAAATTTGGAGTTCCTTCATTTAAGGTTAAAAGTTTTAACGATGCATTGCATTGAACCTCATGTCCATCTACTGTCAGATAATTGCAATAAAAGTAGCACACAGTCAACCTGCCACCAGATTTATCCATTAAGGTTATAGAGGAATAAAAGTTTCACAGGGCAAGCTGCCAAAGAATACAACACATCTGCCCTCTGCATCCACACGTGAATAAATCAGGTTGCAAATCCCTCCCTGCCTCCTCTGTAGGCTGGTAGAGGTCATGCATTTGAGGGGGAAAGAAAGAGAGATTTGGTGATAAGCTATTGCAAACTGTGAGTGGGTGGGTGGAGAGCCAGTAGAGCCTCAGCCCTCATGGTCACTAATACAGGCAGCTGTGCAAGAGGTGCAATAAATCACTCCCCAGAGGTGAAGAGGAGAAAGCTTTTTTGGGTTTTTCCTTTGGGTTTGGGGTGGGGTTTCTTTAGTAGTTTTGTTTTTAATTTTGGAGTTTTTCTATGAAAGATTTTCCAGTTGGGCCACTAATTATTATAAAGATAGGGAATCAGCCTGCTTTCCTTTTTGCTGCAAGGAAACCCAGCCCTGTTCTTAGTATGGCTAGGAACTCACTGAGATGGGCAGCCTTGCAGTCCTAGGTCCTAACATAGCAGAGACCAAAAACTACTCAGCATATTGCTAATTTTTTTTTTTTTTTTGGTTTTGTTTTGTTTTGTGAAGAAGAGTGCTTTATGCTGATATTCCCAACAACTGCTAACACAAATACCATATGTAAACACCAAAACAGTCATGCACTCACTCAAAGCAGGACCTTGCTGATGAGCAGGCCATGGCTGTGAGCAAGTTTGTACTGGTCTTACACATGCTAAAAGTCAGGATTTAGCAGGGCTAAAAACAACTGCAAACCTTTCTGTGATGGAAATAGAACACACCCCTAAAAGATATCTCTGCAATACCACAGCAGTTACAAGGAGAAAATATCTATCTAGGAATTCAGGACTCAATCTTCCTGAGCTTTCCTACACACCTAGCACATCTAGAAGGGGGTGTTGTTAGCCCTACCTGACCTCCTGCTACCACCTGAGGAGAGAAAAATCTCCTGTAGTTGCAGTGGCACCTGCCAAGGCTGTAGGGATATTTCAGACACTCTCACAGCTGAAATTGCACTAGATACCCATGTTTAATCATCCAAAGGCAGGGGTGTTGTCACAAAAAAGATCAGTGATGGGACACCTCTCCTATGAGAAAAGGTTGAGAGAGCTGGGCTCATTCAGCCTGGAGAAGAGAAGGCTCCAGGGAGACCTTATTGCAGTTCTCAGTACTTAAAGAGGGCTTGCAAGAAAGATGGGGTGGAGTTTTGAGTAGGGCTTGTTGTGATGCAACAAAGGATAATGGTTTTAAGCTAAGATAGGGTAGAAGGGTAGAGTTAGACTAAATATAAGGGAGAATTTTTTTTTTTATAATGGGTGTGGTGCAACACTAAACCAGGTTGCCCAGAGAGGTGGTAGATTTCCCATGTCTAGGAACTTTCAAGGTCAGCGTGGCCGGGGCTCTGAGCAACTCAATCCCCACTCATTTCAGAGGGTTGGACTAAATGACCTCTAAAGGTCCCTTCCAACTCAAACTACTGTATGATTCTAGGATTTATCAGCCTGAATAGCTCCTTGGATCCAGCTATCCCTGGGTCAGACCAGTATCTTTCATAATGGCTTAGATGTTGCTAATGAAAGTTACAAACATCAGTGCTGTCATCCAAATCCAATGAAAAAAGACTTCTAAAAATTAACCTGGTACTAAAGTGTGTGTTGGGGTTCATCCGGTGAGTTTGTATCTATTTGCCTTCTGAGCAGATCAAACTCCAAATCACATCACAAAACAGAAGATTTCCAGCAGGCCAGTAACAGACTTGATTTAACTGAGGTGGAGGATCCAATCCATGGACTTTCAGTAGTTGAAATAATTATTAGGAGAAGTAGGTTTGACACTGGCTCATTTCAGTGAGACTAAATAAAATGAAGGACTGAAACAGAAGGGCAAGAATGAAAGGAAAGAGTTTCCAACAAAAAGGGGAAAGAATATAGATAACTGCAGTTTGCAGACTTGATCTGTTGTGTTCGTCAGGCCCCTATGAGCCCCTTGTGCTGCCTGAAATTTGCACTGAAAACAAAACTTTGTGTTTTCCTCACCAGCAGTGTGCCAGTCTTGGCCCTGAGAAAGGGAACAGTGCATGAGCTGCATTTCCCAAGGAGGCATTTGGACCCTGAAGATAACTGCACCCCATCTGCTCACACACTGTACAGGCATTCCTGGCACAGTGCAGGGACTGACAACAGAGTAAGCAAAGCAGCAAGGGGTCATAGAGGGTTGTGAGCCCCTGTGTGTCCTCTTTTGGGACCATGAATACAGGATTAATCCTTTTGGGCTGCACCTGCACAAGTCTCAGTTCCCAAGCTGGCTGGTTTAGATCTATCTTGGGTACCAAAGTGTGACTCTGCAGCCACACCTTGTGGTGCTGCACAGTCTCCCAGACACACATGAGTGCCCTCCTTCACCCTCTCTGGTGCATCCCAGGCCATAAATCAATATTCTGCTGGCCAGTAAAGCTGGATGATGCATGGAGCTGAACTCCAAACAGTTCATTCCCATTCCAGACATGGACCATGCCAGTGCACAGCACAGCAGATTTTTGAGGGCAATGAGCTGGATCTGGATGCTCTGCCTATGCTCTTCCCACTCTAATAATGCTTCACAGTCCATTTCCCAATGAATAAGTCGAAGTATACAATATTCAGTTCCACACTCTGCAAGACATGCGGGTGTGAAGGCATCTAAAATTAGCACGTATTTCACATTCATTTCCTACTCCTAAAAACCACCCAGAATTAACACCTGATGCAGTGGAAATGGTTGTGCTTCGATCTTTCCACTCTAACTTTTGAGTTGTTCCATTTCAGATGTGACTTGCACTGTGGAGGAGAGTTTGTGTTAGATAAACTCAGGCAAATCTTTTTTCTTTTACATTTTGAAAGACCTCGACAGATCAAATCTATTAGATCACTGTGCAATTTACGTGTGGAGAAAGTGCATAATTTGTTTAGTTCCTGTTTCCAGGCTTTTGTGTTTGTAAGGAGCTGGTATGGTTCTGTGAAAAGTTGTACAGCGTGCTGGGGTATTTTGCATGACCAAAAAACCCAGGTTTGACTTAAATACCAATCAAAATAAAGTGAAGAGTGAGGGGGTTCATTCCTCTCCTTACACTTTAATATAACTGAATGTAGTTTAAGAGGTAACATTTGCATGGATGTGGAAGATAATCCTCTGATATATTCCTTCCTTTACAGAACTGCAAATTAACATGCAAAATTGAAACAAAAATTAATATAAATATGAAAGTGTAAGCAAGGTAACACAGGTCTTGCTAGAGTAGACAAAAAGTCATCTACCCCACAGTGCATAACGGAATGCAAATGACCAATGCACAAGGAAGGAGAGCAGAAAAGCACTTGTTTTTCACTCTTTCACTATAGAAACAGAATATTTAAAAATAAACACCCTAATTTTTTAAAAAGGCATCGCTAAAATCATTGTCCTTAAGCTAAAAATAATTATATTCAATGTAGCATTACATGATGTTTTATAACCTGCAACGAGAAATTAAGTGATGGCATTTTATCCCCACTTCACTATTTTTAAAATGCACCTTTCTGGGCTGTATTTTTTCTAGTAGTTCTAGGTAAAGCTTTTGTTTTCTCAAAAAAGACTCAGTGCCAATGCTTAGGTGTTACTAGCCTCAGGTACTAAGTAGCTTCACAGGCAGGAAGGTGCCACTAGATTTTCCACAGAGAACAAGGAAACCATCAAGGGTTTAGCACAGAATTTCTTCACTAGGGTAGAACTAAGTGTAAAATAAGTTATTTTAGACTAATCACAGTGGTTGGCTGCACTGGACTAGTTCTGTTTAATTCAGTGACACTAATCAACTAAGAAAATCATGGCAATACCAATTCTAAACACACTCTCAAAATAATTATAGAATGACTTCGGTTGGAAGGGATCTTAAAGATCATCTAATACCATTCTCACTGCCATGGGCAGGGATGCTATCCATTAGATCAAGTTTCTCAGACCCATCTAACCTGGCCTTGAACACTTCCAGGGATGGGGCAACCACAGCTTCTGTGGGTAACCTGTTGTGTTTCTTTTCTTCATGTTTTCTTCATCCTTTTACCATTATCTCTGTGAGTTGTTTCTAAGGCCCTGAGACACATAGCTAAAAACACAGAACATTCATTCAGGGTGCTGCACCTAGGTTTCCCTCAAAAGCTGTCTTCCTTAAAGAGAAGCTGGCAACAAATCTATACTAAATGAGAAAAGATACAGAAGTGTTTCTATATCTCTATCTAATTTCTTTATTTCCAACCCTGAATTCACACCCATTTTTGCACATGTTGGGCTGCACAGAGTGTGTGCAGTGTGGAGGTCAAACAACCTCTGCAAATGTAGTGCTAGATGGTGTTCCTAAGGATCAGGGTGCTGATCCTGGTGGAGGCAGAGGGAAGCTCTGTCTCCTGTGAGACCCTGGAGGGTACTGAGATGTGCAGAGAGGAGGAATGCTTCCAGGAGAAATGCAGGCAGTGTATGGCACGATCCCTTTTACCAAAACTTGTGACAAAGAGCTCAAAACACCCAGCATGACACATTTCTGAATCTCCCAGCTGTCAGCATTTACTGGGCACCACAGATTCCAGCAGGATGAGAAGCATTTCATGTTTGATAGTCCCAGTCTTGTGTAAAGTGCTCCATCCTTCAGAAACCCAGGAGACTCAGCCCTACACAGGGTGCAAGTCCCAGATTCATCCTAGCTGATGAGAGCTTTTCTCATCTCTTTTCTGACCCCAGCTCTGCAAATTGCTGTTGTGAAATGGTTTCAACTTAAACACCCCTGTGCCTGTTTGAAGCTCTTGTACAGTCTCTGTGCAATGGTGAGACAAAGGGCAGTGGCTGATCAAGCTGTTTTAGAAAGTGATGAAAATGGGCAATAATGGCCATGCTCTCATTCACCTTGATCTAAACTAGTGTCATACAATTATCAGTGCTGTAAAATTATGAAACAATTCAACATGCATCTTCCTCTTCTTAAATAACATGCTACAAAATGTAGCTGGAGGCATTTAGAGACAGTGGCATTAACCAAACTGGCTTATTTCCTAATACTATATATGATTACTAATTATTTTAGTTTCAAACTGAATATGTCCTTTAAATATGGTAATTGCTAGAAAAAGTGGTCTAAATTTAGTTTCTTACAATTAACCACATGACTTTTTTAATTTCTAGTATCTTCACAGTCTTCTTGTAAATCTATAGCTTCTTCTTTAGCTCCTTATGTTTATTAAGTGACATTTCAGAGATTTCTTTTCTTCCCCATTTGGCCTACTACATAAAATCTATCATACTTAAGGAAAAATACATTTTTGTCTCAGAGCCCTACTTTTGCTTTAAATTACTTTTCTTTCTCCTTTAACAGGTCAGGAGAGTGACTTCCTTGCTGTTCTCTATGACTACCCTTCAGCAGACATAAGCCAACCTATATTTCACGTAGGAGAAAAACTACGTGTGCTATCAGAGTAAGTTGATCAATTTATTTTTAAATTAGGTTTTATTACAACTGAAGCAAAGCTCTGTTTTATGTGCCTGGCCCAAACTGGATGCAGTTCAGCAAAATGAACTGAATTCAGAATTTTCAAGGAAGGATGCTTAGCCAGAGTGTAAATTTCCATGTAGTTTAAGGATTTGGGATTATAGATTGTCCTTTGATCCATGGATTTCTCTTAGATTTCTCAAGATGGATACAGACTCTATTCTAAAATAAGATTCAGAACAACTCTGCTTTGAAAAATGATTATGAGAAAGTGTTCCCCAAATGTAATGCAAAACAAAGTAAGAGCCAAAATAGTTTGAACCACATAGAAAAATAATTCTGAATTTCTTCATGTCAAGTGTGTCTGTCATTTTCTCCCTCACCCTTTGTAATAATAACAGCTCCATTATTATTAAGTCTTAGAATTTCATACCCATTTAAGGAACTAAGGGTCCCCAGACTCAGACAATACCACCAGATAAATTTTCTGCTGATGGAGAGCTCCTCTAAACCAGGGGGATTCCTCTCTGCTAGCTCCTAGCAGTATAAACCCTGCTGCAGTTTGCAGAACATACATGACATGCTACAACTGCTTTAGCTTGGAAATTCCATCTCAAAGCCTCACTCTCAGATTCCATCAGCTACAGGCCCTCATATCAATGGGAATTACATGTGTGTAATGCCTATGCCCATATCAATGGGAATTACCTGTGTGACATATTGTATGTACATGTGTGCTCCAAAGTACAATCTACTGCAGGAACAACTTCTAAAAGAATAGGCTTTGGCAGCAGAAGTTTTTGACATGTTTGTCTGTTGTGCAGTCATCAAGGGCTTCTCCTGATGGATAAATTAGATCCAAGGCAAGCCTTGATGGGAATTTTCCTCTTATTTTGAATCATGAGCTTGTTCACAGAAGACAAGACAGTCCAATGCTCTATGCAAACCACAGTGTCCTGATGAAGGACCTGTCCTCCCCTGCCTGGGTATGTGTCAATGTCAGTAGGAATTGCTTGCCTGCAGCCTTTTCTGCTCATAAGCTGTAATTCTTTTTCCAAAATCATTCAAAGAAGTAAAATATAGTAAAAAGGAAGAGTAGCATTGCATGACAGAGCACAAGTGATGAGGAGTCACCACGGAGGAGTCAGCATGTACTGATTTTACAACAGCAGCTTTTCAGCCTTCTGCCAAAGTAGTGATGTGTAGTGGCAGTCAGGCCCACCAACCCTGCCAGGAGCAGGACATATGGAACCACCACAGGAAATGCAACTCCTCACAGATATTTGTGACTACTCTGGGTTGGCAGAACTGTATAAGCACCACTGGCACAGTTCCTCACTCTCCACACTGGGCAGGCACCCTTCATTACCAGATGAACCACATTTGGATGGCAGTAGTCAAACCAAATGTCCTCCAAGATTCTCCCCAATCTACATAATTTCTGTAGCTCATGCCCCAGGAGAGATGTACTGCTTTGGGATTTTTATACATCATAGGGATTTTTCAGTGTTAGTAATATTAAAGTTTGGAGGGAGACAGATGACGAATCTCTCAGTTTTGTTTTTGTTTTTTTCTTATTGAAATTCTTGGTTCTGTCTAGGAGAGTTCTGGTGGGGGGGAAAGACAAAATTACCTAAAATTCTTATAGATAAATGCATTTCATCTGGAAAACCAAACCCAATACTTTTAGGGGCCCTGAAATTTCCAGCAGTAGATATCTCCCTTCTTCTCTCAGCACAGACAATCTGGACCATGGTCCCAGCAGCTCTAACTCATGACATTTAACCTAAGTGATTTCAACACAGCTGTTCTGACACACACTGAGACTCTGATCTGCAGTCTAGACATTGTTTTGGGAGCATTTATATGAACATCCACAAAAACAGCATTTAAACACAAGACACACTTATTTGGATTCAAACTGTTAAAGTGAAGGTGCAGAGAACCCATCAGTCATCAGCATCCTTGTAGTTCAACTAAAGCTCTGCAGCATCCCTGTGAAAATTCTTGGTACCCTGTATTTCTGAAGGGATTCAAGAGTCAAAGCCACAATCCAGGCATCACAGCAATAACTTAAGGTATATTGGGGAAAATACATATGTCTGCAGCTTCAGCTATAGGATCTATTTTATTTGAGTCTCGTCTGCAGCTCATGGAAGACAAGGAAAAGAGCAAACCACAAACCAGGTTCTGTTGGACTGACAGCCTGTTCCCAAGCAGACAGGCTCCATTTCCCAGGAACCTCTGCCCTGGTGTTACAGGGCTGTCCAGACACAACACACTCAGCTGTAAACTGAATATCTTGGACACCAGTACAAGCCTAGCTGTGGGAAGGCAGAGCACAGCATGGTTTAACCACTGAGAATTTATCCTTCCTCTTTCAACTACAGAAAAATATTTTATTACTCACATAATTTAAATGGAACAAATTCAGCTTATTTCTGTGTCCAAATTTAATTCTCAAGTAGGTTTAGAAATGGAACTACTCTAAATGAAACCAAACGAGGTTCCTTTCTGAATACATAGTTTCAGGAGCACACACAGAAGGTTGCAGGCTAATCTGTATATCTTCACTAACTTCTAAAAGATGAGAAACTCTGAAAATACATCTGAAAATATCCCTTCTCTTGCTTTCACACAGTGAAGGAGGCTGGTGGAGAGTCCATTCCCTTACGACAGGTCGAGAAAACTATATTCCAGGAAAATATGTAGCAAAGGTTTATCACGGGTAAGTAAATGCATTTCCATAGCCTTTCACCACATTTTTACATATTCTCCTCTGATTACTCAGTCACAGTCCAAATAATGCCAATAGTGACTTGACAGACAGAAATTTTATTTATTGACAGTCTAAAATATATCTTTTGAAAACTGAGAACCTCAAATCCACATATAAATTTAGACTAAGTGAAAAGGAAAATTCATCTTTTAAAAGCTGGAAAGAGCCAAAACCACCTCAAATCGCATATAAGATTCACATCTGTTGCATGGACTGATCTCTAACTTAAATTGATGATGTGGGCCTATTTAAAATGGATTTTTAATATTTACATAGAGTAAAATTTTAGCTAGGTTTGCTCATGGAAAATAGGCCAAAAAGAAAAAAATAGAAATGCTAATAAGTCATTCAAGAATGTAAACTTTCTCACTGAAAGAACTAAGGAAATTTCAGACATTTCTTGTTGCCATAGACACCACTCAGGAAAAACAAAAAACCATTAAACAACACACTTAAAAATTTTCTGGCAAATGTTTTAATACCTGTTTAATTTTAAGGATATGAACTGTGAATGTCACTGTGAACTATGCAAGTGCTTAAATTTTACCATGTTTTTACATCCTCCTGAAACAGTGATGCTGTCCCAAAGGCAGGGAACAGATGTGGGGTAATGGAAGCTACTGTCTGAAACATCAATGACAGCAGACAGGATCAAATACATGAGAACAACTTTAAAACAGAATTCCAGTAACTCTAGAACAGCTGAGCAAGCCCAGATGCATGGTGAGACACTTGCTGTGGCAAAACATGGCAGTGCACCAAGTTATGGTGAAAATCTGTAGGACTAATTTCACTTTTCCTTATCCACAAAGCCCATTAACTTAAATGGTTGGACTGTTCCCTAGAAGAAGCAAAATAATTGTCATGTATTTGGTGCTTATTTATGATACAACTTGGGGTTAAAAAAAGTGGTTTAAATGAAAAAGAGAGGTTTAACTAATGCCTCAGATGTGATTAATATACCACATGAATCTGTCCCCAGAAATACAGATCAAAGCAGCTCAAAAAGTTTTGTTTTTTCTAGTAAGTCCAAACCTTTTCTTAACCTCACAAAGGTTAATGGAACTCAAAACCAACAAAAATTTCTCCATAAACTGGGGAAATATGCCTGAACGTGGTTGAGAGAATAACTATAGAAAGCCACTGTGTTATTTTTACAGTCACTTTTCCTGGCTAATGCAGCACTTTCACAGCCACATGCTGCTCCATTGTTTCAGTGGTGTCCAAATTTCAGAATTTGTTTTTTCCTGCTTCACAGCTGGTTATTTGAAGGCTTGGGAAGAGAAAAAGCAGAGGAACTTCTACAGTTACCCAACACCAAGGTCGGTTCCTTCATGATCAGAGAGAGTGAAACTAGGAAAGGTGAGGCCATAAAGACTTTTTCCCTCTTGATCTCAGTCATTAACAGTTTTACAGTTCTTTAATTCACTCCCTGTCCTGCTTCACATGGATCAGTCCAAATGCAGGAAAGGTGCATAATGGGAAGGCACCCAGTGCAGTGTGCCAGCCTTTACCAGTCACCTACTGGAAACAGGGTTATTGATGGCCATGGAAACTTCCACGGGCATCAGCACAAACAAGACACAGTTGTTTAAACACTATTATTTACTTTGGTTGCATGCAAACCTTATGAGGCAGTGGGACTTTGAATGAAGGAAAAGTCACAGCTTTGCCTTGGTCCACAAAAGATTGATTCAAGAACTTGTAAAATGCACACCAAGTAGTGGGGGTGGTGGATAAGTGTGCTTATTATATAAATGAGGGAGATCTTTTACTTATTTTTAAAAATGACTGGCCTTTGATTTTATTTTCTTTATTTTGCTACATGGGAATTATGCTGTATCAACTTTATACTTTTATTTTCTTCAGTGGGGACATAGAAACAGAATCATAGAATGCCCTGGGTTGGAATGGACCTCCAGGGATCACTGAGTCCAACCCCTGGCCCTGCACAGGACCACTCCAAGAATCTCACCATATGCCTGACAGCATTGTCCAAACATTTCTTGAGCTCTGTCTGGCTTGGTGCTGTGATCACTTCCCTGGAGAATCTGTTCAGTGCTCAGCCACCCTCTGGGTGAAGAACCTTTTCCTGATATCCAACCTAAACCTTCCCTGACACAACTCCAGGCCATTTCCTTGGCTCCTGCCACTGGTCACCAGAGACAAGAGATCAGTGCCTGCTCCTCTGCTGCCCCTCATGAGGAAACTGAACACAGCCATAAGGTCTCCCTTCAGTCTTCTCCAGGCTGAACAAATTTCCCATGTCAGCATGCTGTCTTCCTTTTCTCAAGCACCAGAACACATTCTAACATCATGTTACTACAGATAAAAGGGAATAATGCATCATCTATTCTGACCTCTTGCATACCACAGGCCAATTACTTTCTAAATATCTGTAATAAATTCAAGAAAATTTAGTATTGGCATTCAGTCCCTGGCAAGGAATGCTGCAGAACAGTTCTTAACAAAGAAACAGGAAAATCCAAGTGGCCATCTCCTGCCATGACTGCATTATCAGGTCTCAGCTAATACATTACTCAAAGCTGACTAAATCAGAATACCAGCCTGTGAATCTGATCTCCCTATTCAGTGGAAGGCCAACAACTTCTGTAAAGGCCTATTTCTTTTACAGCATTTCAAAAGATCCCATGCCAGCAATAATAAAGGAAAGGCACACCAGAAATTTAAATTTAACCAAAATCTTGAGTCATGTTGTATCCTTTATAATATTTGTGTACATATATAAAGTATAAGTACTATATAAGATGGCCACTCAGTTTTTTTCAGCTATTTTTGAGATGTTTTGAGTAATGGCATCACTTACAGATCTTAGAGATTCTCTATTCTGCTACAGATACCCAACCAGAACTGCAGCCCTTCTTTGGTGTAATTATTCCTTCTCTGTCTCCAGGGTTATATTCCTTGTCAGTGAGGCACAGGCAAGTGAAACATTACAGGATCTTCCGCCTCCCGAATAACTGGTATTACATCTCCCCACGGCAAACCTTCCAGTGCCTCGAAGACCTTGTCAATCACTACTCAGGTAAAAATAAGTGCAGAAAAAACAGATTTTTTTCTATCAAATTATTTCTATCAAATAAAAGATAAACTATCTATCAAAGTAAAACTATCGATCAAATGTCCAGAACAAAAAGTTTTGCCTATGTCCAAGACATGAAAATACTGTGCAGAACAGGCAATGGAAAAAGTTTTGGTTTATATATTTTACTTTATTTTTCATCCTAAATAAAAATGTGCTGCCATTAACAGTGTAACTGAAATCAATACAAGAACTCAGCTAAATAAGGCCAGCTAGGTTCTGTCTATATCAATGTCTTGTATGATATCGTGTAGGGTATTTTATGGCCATGACAATAACACTGCTTGAGCCAAACACCAGGGTCTAGCGGTTCCACAGAGAATTCCAAATTCAGTTTCATTCAGCTGTACAGAAGCCATGTACACACAGTTCTGGGCTCCAGAGACAGATTGCAGCTCCTGCCTGACTCTGTTTGCCAACACAGAGATCTCTGCCATTCATTTATTTGCCTTTTAGGCAGACAGATAGCTTCAGAGCATGAAACACCAGGCTCTCTAATCACATTTCTTTAAAGAATCACTACCTTATCTGTAGTAGAAAATTTTCAGAAATGTTGGAAACTTCTTCCCTATCACTTTAGAAGTATATGAAAGAATTTATCAGCAGTACTCATATCAAGAGGCTCAAGCTGTTAGCTCAACTGCAGTCAGCTGTCACCGTTGCTGATATCACTCCAGTGGATGACACCTTTTCCAATGACAGTTTCCCAGATTTATGGCAATTTAACCTGTATCAGAAAGGTAACTTGACAAGTGACACAATTAAGTGGCTGCACTTGCCATGCATCATAGCGAGAACATTCGAAAATGAGGAAGGAAATTGCAAAAAACCTAATTGCCTGAAAGTTACAAGAGAACAACAGGTTCTGTACTTTAACAAGCAACAGGTACTCTGTGATTTTAAAAGTGTGAAGTTACCATAACTAAATATTTCACAGATAAAATAAAAAGTGTGATGACCACTGATAAACTGAGGAGAAAAGTCATTCACATTCAAAACAAGCCAATGAAACTTTCAAGTCCAATGATATAAAGAGAAGAGTAAGAATTTGGACAGGAGATATATATGTATTTACATGTTAGCTAGTTGACACCTTTCCCCATTTAGAAAGAAGAAAAAAATTGAAGCCTAAAAACTGGGCTGGGGCAGAACCCAAAACTTGTAACAATTAACATTTTAACTTGAGTTATAAGTGTAAGAGGAGACAGATTTAGGTCTACTCCTTCCCTCACCACGAGAAGATACAGAATTTCATTCTGAAATAACACTCAGAGTCTGAGAACAGGAGCATTTAGCCATGATGTTCTCTACTTGGGCAGAAGATTATCTGTGATGTTCCTTGTGGAGCAAGAAGAGTGTAGAGCACAGAAACATTGAAGAAGTTAACATTCGAACCTCAATTCACTCCACAGCCAGAAGAATAGGTATGCACACAATCCAATCTGATCTTTTTTACACTCTGTTTGCATGGCTGAGACAGTAGGGAGCAAAGCAGAACTCACCGAGGGCTCAGAAAAATTTGGTTTAAGTTTCTGCTCTGTCACAAAATTCCTTCTAGTCTCTGAGCAAGTCATTTGTCTTATTGTGTCTCAGTTCCTCACTTGTACTTTATGAATTATACCCAATGAAAAATTAAAATGCAAAGGTATGAGGAAAGGGAAAAATTAAGCCTGTATTACTGTGTCCTTGCAGAGAAGACACAATTATTGACTGCTATTGCTGGGTCCAAAACTGTTTATTTGAGCATGCATCAGGGAAAGAAAACAGTAAGCAAAGATTAACTGTGTATTCATTTTCCTGTTCAGAAGTTGCTGATGGTCTCTGCTGTGTCCTTACAACACCTTGTCTCACCCAGTGCACTAACAACAACACTGTGACGAATCCAGTTCCTCCTGTGGTGATGCGGAATAAAAATTTCAGCTGGAGAAACATTCACAGGTACCACATTCAGCACAGGCTGCCAGAAACAACAGGGGTGTTTCCCAGCCATGCACATACTTGTGCTTGCAGCACAGAAGACATAGCTATTTATTTCCTTCTCCTGAAAGCACTTTTAAAGCTTGGACAATCTGACATCAAGCTAGCCCATGAAAACTAAATGCTCAGCTCACTAACTGATAATCTAGGTTTAATTTTGAAAGAAAGTACAGCTAGCATTCAATCCTTTTCACCATCCAGCTATCAGTGGGCTCAGTCCCTTTGGGTCTCCTGAGTCCTTTCAGCAAGGGGCAGGAGTAAGGGCAGGGTCACAAAGGCCAGGGACACCCAGCAGTGCTGGTCCATCCCCACGGATGTGCAGTGGCTCACAGGTGAGCTCCCCTTTTTCACACCCCCAGGAAGCAGCACAGGTGCAATGGACACATTGTCCAAGAATAAACCTTGCCTGTCGTGTCTCTCTCAACACACAGCCCAATTCATGAGATTTCTAATATCACCACTGCCACAAGAGAAAGTAGGTCAGGTTTCAGAAGCTGGGGAAACAACCACCCTCAGAAACAAAAGCACCTTTTTACTTTTGAAGGGTAAATTTCCCTTCAGTACTCTTCCTTCACAAAACATTCATGTGCTTATGAAGGCAAGAAAATTTTCTGCAGTATTGAAGTCATTTTTCCTACAGATTAAAAAGAGAATATAGATGATACTTCCTTTTCAAGTGCCAAAAAATATTTAGATATTACTGTTGTACTCTTTTTTTGAGAAATGCTAAGTGACAGAAATGCTCAGTGATTTATGAGGCAAAAATGTTTTTATACAACAAAAATAGCTTTATTAGTTTTAAAAACTGTTCATATTATCCCAAGAGGCTCAGTCCAAGTAGCTGAAATGGTAACAAAACTTTGTTATTTTAAAGGCTGGAGGTGACTGGAGATACCAAAAGCACCCTGGCAGCAATGGATGACTCTTGCCTCAGCTATGGCCTGAGGGAAAGCATCGCTTCCTACCTCTCCCTAACTGAGGATGACAACACTTCTTTTGCAAGTGCCAGGAAGAAGAAATCCCAGTCTCTCATATACACAGGGAGCAAACGTAAGAGTGCTCTTCACTTGCCACCTACATACTATGACGACTAAATATAAGACAAACAGGAAAAAGCCACAAACTGACGAGTAAGAAGAGAAACCAGAGCATGCTGTGGTCCTGCTGTCCTTCAACAGCTGGGAAATACAATCAGCTAAGCTGCTGACCAAGTGTCAGCAGTGCTTCTGCATTTCTTCTTCTGAATGTTAACCAGAGACCCTCCCAAGGATATTTCAGCCATGGTATATGCTGGGAATGTCCCCAGAGCACCAGAAGTGGTTCACAAACTGGACAAACTGAGACAGACTCTAAGTCAAAAGCCAAGTGGTGCAGGTGACCCCTCAGCAGGGGCGATGCCCAGCATTGTACAGAGGTGTACAGGGAAGGACTAACTGCAGCTCAAGAACTTAAATTAAGTCTTACTCTGGTATTCTCCACAAGGCTGAAAGCCTTCTTTACAGAACCTATCTACACTGAAAAAAGGAGCATTTTTCTTCTCAAGATAGACTTATCCATTGTCATCGAGAATGGGTCAGAAAGACATCAAAAACTGCAGGAAAGTATCTAACATCTGCCATCAAAGAAACACCTGATTATAGTGACTCCATACTTATCTTTTAGGAGAAAAAATTAAAATCACTGACTTTACAAGTGGCATTTAATTAACTTGCTGGATATGTCCTGCAGTGCCATAAAATAGTCACAAAATTAGAGAACAAGCTTAATTCACAGAGAAAAGCAGTTTCTGCTTATACCTGAGATGGGAGCTCGGGCATATCCAAACATGTAACTCGACTACTCATAGTAAAGCAGATAAACAGAGAAAAAAGAGAGTTCAATTGAAAAGATGTGATGATATTGTGCCTAACTACAAAGGTTGGCTTGCAAAGGTGTGACCTTTTAAGTGTACATGGAGATATTTTAACTTTGACTTCTGAAGTCAGCCACATATTTATGTATAATATTTATATTAACAGCAGCTTTTAAAATAATTAAACTAAGGGAAAAAATCAGTAACTGTGGATGTTAGAGATTTTTCCTAATATCTTGTCTGACTAGAGTTATGTCAAAAAGTAATTACACTTTCCATCAAACCACTTAAGGATTAGAGGATTTTTCTGAAATTTCATTTATTTTTTACAGGTATGTAACCTTTTTTAAGTTCTAAAAGACAAGTAGCATTTTCCTTTGAGTGATCCAAGGGTCACCCTTGTCTGAATGTGTAAAATGCTGCAACCTATGCTCTCAAGGTGAGATAGTTTCAATCCCATATTCTTCTGTACCTTTTTGCACTGATTTGAATAATGAAAATTTGGAGAAATAGAGAATTTAAGAGGTTATATAAATATATATATATATATAATCTCTGAACACCTCTTAGAACAAATTATGTGTTATTTAGATCTTGTATCAGGTCATTTGCACTAGCAAGAAAGGTTCAGAGATCAAAATATTTCACAGCCTCTTTAAGCATATTTCAGTACTTAAAGAATGAATGTAATTTGTCTGGTAAACATTGAATTCCAAAAAGCAAAACACACTCAGGAACTCTAGGCATTTGTATAATCTGATTACTATTACTGATAATCAATACATTATGGTGACTGCATTTTATCCATGAAATGTATATGGGGAGCATTTCAGATTTCTAAGTCATGACTTGTATTTATTCATTAAAATAATATTCAGTAGTTACTTTGTGTTGCTTTTAGAAAATGGAAAACGTGGTGTGCAACTAGTACCAGCACCCAGCCTTTCAATGCTGGCCAGAAGGCATTTTGGATGGAAGGTGACAAAAGAATCCCAGAGCCCACAGGATTGGCAGCACTTGGACACTCTCTGTGAGAAGGAGATAAGATGTTCTGACAATGACAAGTTGAACAATCACAGACCAGTTCAGGGTGCAAAGAACCCCCAGGCATCCTCTGATCCAACCCCTCCCTGTTCCACCAGGGCCACCTTGAGCCATTTGCCCAGGACCAGGTCCAGAGGGCTTTGGGATACCTCCAGGGATGGAGACTCCACAGCCTCCCTGAGTGACCTGTGCAGACACTCTGTCATCCTCACAGCAATGACATGATAAAGTGACAAAACCCAAAAACCATAGGGATGGCTGGATTTCACAGATGGTTATGAGAAAATTCTGTGAGGTCTTGCTACTTTTACAATTAACTGAAAGACTTTATTTGGCACCTTTTGGGAAACATGAGCTTGAAGGAGAAATTACACCCCCCAGGGGATTTTATACAAATCCTACATTACCTATGATATGGTATCAGAAGTACAAAATTTGGGTAGGGATGTTCCAAAACAGCTATAATGAAAAAAAGTAACCAAGAGAGGTGGTTGCTTTGTTTGAGAGGTAATGAGACTGGTAAAGGGAGGGGAAAAGGAGATGGGAAAAGAAGGAAGAAAGGGGATCTAAAGAGTAGCTGGTTACCAGGATCAGGGATATTTAGGGTCCATGCTAGAGAGCCTTGCACCTGACTGCAGTAGAAGAGCAATAAACCTTCTCTTTCCACTATTGTCTGATCTGCTTCCATGGCCAGGAGGGACCTGGTGGAAAAGGCTGGAAGCTGCCCTTGACACCCAGCAGGAATGCCAGGATTGCAGCCCCTGCAATCCACACCATTGATCCAGCCATCCACATCAAAATTGCACTGGTAAATTAATTGAGCAATCAAAACAGGAAGTCAAATGCCAGACTAATGCTCTTAAACCATTTAAAACAAGACTATAATCACTGATACCACTTATTTCTAATCATACCACTGAAAGATGAAATAAATTCTAAGAAGTCCTCATGAGAGCTTTACACTGATTTTGTACAATCTGTTTTCAGATTTGTTCCAAACAAAAACTATTACAAGGCAGACACAGGAAACTCAAAAGCATTTTGCTATTTCAGGTGCACATTTTCTAGCAAAGAAAGTTTCATGCACCACTGCTCTCTGCATGCTCAGGAACAATGTGGTTTTATCATTCATAACAAACACAGAAACCAGGAGCACAAAGCTGACTTTTGCAGAAGAGCTCTATTGCTTCAATGAGGGATTTTCCCTTAGGAAAGGTACATCTGGTATATAATCTCAGTCTCATGATTCTAATCTGTGTGCACCTCTTTTTTTACAGTAAAATTAAACGTAGTCAATGATTTTGGTATCTTTGAACAAAAACAAGATACACCCTTTTACAGAAGATGTAAGAAAACAACTTTGGCATCAGTTTAAAAAAAATCAAGTGTATTTTTAAGTTACAAGCTACTGCTATTGTTGTTTGCTTTTCATTTTGTCAGTGTATTTCACAAGAAAACTAAATCCACTGTAAGGCTGTCAGGATAAATAATTAACACTTCTCTGAAATCTGAAATTAACACTACTCTGAACTCAGTGGAGATGCTGCTTTTGCCAAGACAGTTGCCTGCACAGTTTTTTTAAAAAAAGATATAAACACTAGAAAAGTGGGGAGAATTGGTGCACCTGTCTGCTCATTGCACTTGCCACTGTTTTCCCTTATTCAGTGTTCTGCTGTAGGAGAAAAAATGAGTTTAATTTTTTTTTTTTTTTTAATAAAAGAAAATATATAACATGGAACCACTATCCAGAAGGAACAATAAGCCAAGAGGTCCTTGCATTTCCCTCCACTAAATGGACCAGCTGTTAAATTGCTCTGTGTCCTTTCCACAGGGCTCCATCCTCAGCCACATCAGTAAAGGGTTTGTGACTTCAAAGCAGGAGGACACTGAGAAAAAGGACTCTGAGTCTTCAAGTAAATTAAATCCTATGTCAAGAGCTGACTAAAAATCTAGGAACTGTGTGAGGAATTATCTGATAATGACAAAAAAACCCAATTAATGAACAACAATTTTCAAAAACTTCCCTTGCCTTCCCCACTAGAGCAGTGCAATTAAAATAAACTTATTGAGACACGAGGATACAAAAGGCAAGTTATGTTTCCTAAAGCAAGGGCACAGTGAAGAACAATTAGGTACTGAATTAAAATGTCATTATTTTCAAGGCAACATTTTATTTAATTGGGCCCTCAGCTTCCTGAACCAAGAATTATATCCCACTGCTCACTGTTCCAAGGCAACACTGCTAGCAGAACTCATTTTGTCCAAGTACCATTTCTGCTGGATGAATAAACTTCCTCTGTTGATTAAGAATCATTTCAGAGCACACTGAGCTTATCTGAGGCTGCGAAGATAAATGGCAATATTGATGCTGACACAACTGATCTCAGAGTCCTGAGACTCAACACAGGAAAGGCTTTAAGGATATGGATCACTTGGAGTGACTGAGAAAGTGGTTTAAGCTGATGGGAAACAAGCCCATCTGTAAACTGCTTTTTATTCTCCGAAACTTTTTTTTCTTTTAAATGAAATCTGTCATAAGATCTGATAAAAAGACTGGATACTTTACCATGTGGGAGTTTGGCTCATCAGTTTCAGGGTCTAAAAGCTGCTGACCAACAATCGTATTTAAGGAATGGAAACTAAGCTGTTGTACTTGCAGGTTACAAAACAAGGTTATTTATGTAACACACAAAAAAACCACAGTGACGAAAACTGGGTTCTTGCTATGAGTAAATCACACACATCTCTTGTACATCCTGGTGAAGCATCCAGCTCTTGGAGATAACAGTTACAGGTGAGATGAAAAATAAGTGCAGCAATAACAGCCCTGTCAAGGTATGGATGAAATAAACCCAGCACCCACACACCGCAGCATCCTCATCTCTGTAGCAACATCCTTTCACAATGCAGGTGAAGCTGAAGCAGGAATGGAACTTACCATCAGCAGCAGCCTCCTGAAAAGGTCTGTGCCTGCTGTCTCTGTGAGCAGGTGAACGCTGGTGACATCCGCCCCGCCGCGCTCGGCTCCCAGAGAAATCCGGCTGGGATCACCCCCGAAGCTGGCGATGTTCTGCTGCACCCACCTCAGCGCTGCCAGCTGGTCCCAAAGGCCAGCATTCCCACTCACCTCAGCAGAACCTGGAGTAGGAAACAAAATACAGCAGAAAAGAAAACTAGAAACATTGAAGTTTGGAGTAAATGTTACATTTTTTGCAGCTCTTTTAGGTGAAACTTGACAAAACTGATGCCAGAGTTTAAAAGTCTGGTCTCCTCCAAGGTAATCGCTTTACACAGTGACTCTATTTCAGTTTTCACCACTCCACAGGGCAGCCCTGGGGGTGCTGTTTTGTCCCAGAGATAGAAAAATAACACTTGAACTTCTAAGCTTCATTAGGACACATCATGGCAGGAGACAAATCCAGGCTCAAGTATCCATAGATTTAGCCATAAGATTCTTTTTCTACATAAGTAGCTCTATCTTAAAATGAGTTTAAAATAAACAAAAATATCTGTGTGTTGGCCAGGTTCTCAAGTTGGAAGGGATCTATAAGAATTAGTTTCCCTGGAGACACCTGATTGTATGTTTCCTTCCTACACACCTCTTACACTTGCCCTGCCTGACCAATCATCATAAACCTCACCATTATGAATTAATTATTAAAAATAATTACTAAATAATGATTATAAATCATATCATTATGAAATTGCTATGAATCTTATTGAAATCCTTTACACTCTTCCAGATATTATTTTAAAATTTATATTTCTGTCTATAGTTTTGAGATTGTCCTATGTTTATCCAATAGAAATCTTATAAATATATATAAACATAAAAAACAAACAAATAATTAATTATTAATGCCTAAGTATGACCACCTCCTTTTCAAGACCAAAAAGTGGTAACCTGATACTTTGATTAATAAGAAATTAATGCTGAAAGCATCTAGTTATGCAACCATGTAGGTAAGCTCGATTTTATGTCAACAAAAGCAGAAATAAGTAATTCCTCCATGGTTTATAAAAAAAGGAATAGAAAATGATTATTCAGTCTACTTCTTTTTAATCCACAATGAGCAATTCATTTCCAAAGTTCTAAAATTCTTCTCATTTAAAACTTGGAAAAAAACACAAACCCACAGGATAAAACAGAAAAGCCGTGAATAGAAAAACAACTGAAACTGTTTCTTCCATTGCCAAGACCAAACAGCACAAGTTTAAAATAAGGGCAGGTTCAGAAACTAGTGAATTAAAATTAACAGGGAGCAGAATAAAAAGATGTCACTTTGTGGACAGGTCTTGGGCAAAGAGCAGTTGAAGTGTACATCCTTTACACTGTGAATTACTGAGGTATCAAACACACCAGATTAAACAGTAGAATAAATATAGAGGAGAACAGATTAATGATAACCTTGAAGGGCTTAGGGATGCCCATGCTACAACAGCCATTGTTAGGAACAGCCTTTCAGAAGGGCAGTCAAAAACTGAATAGCCCAAAACACTATGACCTATAGCCACTGTTTCAGATGACCAGTCCAAGGCACACCAGTGAAGCAATGGAGGAAATCTTTTCCCTGCTTAATTTTTTGAATTTGTGATTTGTTTTTTTAGGTTTTTTTCAGTTTGCACACCATGACCAGTTCCCAGAGTTCTCAATCCAGCAATAAACCCACTCTTTAAAAAGGAAATCTCATTTTAAGGATTTGCTCCATCCCCATTGAGACCATTCCAAAGGAAGTGAAATAATAGAATCACTCTGGTTGGAAGAGACCCTTAAAATCATTGAGCCCAACTGTTACCACTGTACTGCCAAGTTCACCACTAAACCATGCCCCCAGGTGCCCCATCTACGTGTTTTTAAATATTTCAGGGATGGTGACTCCACCACTGCCCTGGGCAGCCTTTTCCAATGCTTTACAATCCCTTTGGTGAATAATTTTTTATGTGCAGATCCACGCAAATGTTTTAGCCACACGGTCTGCCTTGCTTTCACTATACTAAACAGAAAGACCTAAGAGGGAAATATAACCAGTTCCTTTTTCCCTGGCAAAAACCACAGCTGGGTTGTGAAATGTACCACACTGAGAACAGATGCATGCATGGACATTCATAAGAGTTAGACTGAAAGAAACATGTCTGCCAGGAATCTTTTCCACTGCCTTTTTGTAGGAAAAGATCACATTCCTGAGGACCACAGGAAGCTGAAAAGACACCAGAGTCCTTGTGTGCTTCCTTCTGTAATTACTAAATAGAAGAAGAACAATAGTGCTGAATTAAAGCACAAAAATCATTTTGGTTTATATGATTTCATGGAATCTTAAAGGAATAAAACCTATAAACATGACTGTGTTCTCCATACTCTTGCCATCCATATGACTGGCAATTCACCTCAATTTTTCTGGACACAAAGCAAGAAATTAAGACAATAGTAAGAATGTGCATCACTTTTTGCAACATTAATGGGTGATAGCAAATTTAATTTAACATCTTTTTTGTTTACGAGAAAAGAGAACTCTTTCACTTTTTGCAAAAGCCACTGAGGAACCAGAATAACTGTAGAACTAACAAAAGCTCCATGCAAACAAAAAGAACTCTTCTGTTTTCATTACCCTTCAATTCCCTAAAAATCCATTTAACTCCTTCCTTTCTAGATTTATGAATTATAACAAGTCAACTTGAGAGGATTCAGCACTTTGCTCAGTTGGATAATCAAACTAATATTACTCACAAGTTCATCACTTTTATTTCTAATTGTAGGGGCTTCTAACAGTCCTGCTATGAAGCCCTAAGGGTGAACTCCTGCTCCCTTTGAAACCAATGGCAAAAGTTCCAAAGGACCAGGTGCAGGAGACTGGAATGTTAATGGTTAATGATGTAAATTTGTTGTCTCAGCACCAAGCCTGACAGACCCAAGGTGTGTTTGAACAACATTCCCAGGCATATGGTGGGATTCCTGGGGTGTCCTGTGCAGGGCCAAGAGCTGGACTTCAATGATTCTTGTGAATCCTTTTCAACTTAAAAGATTTTGTGAGTCTAGAACTGTATGATTTTCCCAGCTACACACCAAGGACTTCCCAAAGAGGAAGAGGCCAGGAAAGACTGAACTTTTCCCTGACCACAGCTCCACAGTACAGAGGAATAGGAGAAAGGCCCCAGAAAGTCCCTGTGTGTAATGAACCACGTCTGTGTGAAGGATTGCAGGAACACCAACCATGCACACCAAGCCCATGTATTGACATTTTGGGACATACAGGGAGAACCCTGTGAAACAGAGACCAAATAATTTTCTTGATCCCTAAGTTATGGATCATCATATAAATATTGCTGCATCATATTCAGCCCAACCAGCATTTTCCACTCAGGAAGAAACCTAGGTGATTTTCACAGGGCTGAAGGAGGGTGGTGGGTAGTGTGTGGGCAGTGCTGTGTACTGGAAGCTTCCACAGAACATATCCACGCTGTATTTGGCTCTAGATGAAATGATGGTATCACTTTCATAAACATTGGGTTTGCACTGATGAAAACAGTGATTTTTTTCTCCAGATACACCCATAATCAAATTCTTATCTAAATAAGTAAGGAGTTTGTAGTGCCAGCTCTCTATTTACAGAATGAAAGAGACTTTGCTGGGAGTGAGTTTTGAACAAAACAGTAAAGAGAGAAGAGAAAAAAAATAACCAAACACTGCAGCTATAACCTCAAACTAGGCAGAATCCACCCAACATCACTAGCAGGGAACACTCAAAAGGATCATGAGGCAAAGTGCATAGGTCAGATATTTCCAAACATGGCAAATATGACATCCTAAAAGTTATAAATGTATTAAAATTCCCACTAAAGAGACCAAAGATTGCCACCAGACTGAAAGAGACAGAGCTCCACTTGCAGCTGCTGCATTTTCTCTCAATGGCTCTCTACCTTAAGTTCCCCTGCCCCAGGCAGAAGTGAAAGATGGTAGAATGAAAAATGTTCCCTTCTTGCTTAAAAAGGCAAGGCTAAAAAAAGGCATAATGAAAAAAACAATCCCCAAGACCAGATGGCACTACCCCAAAGGTTTAGGGAGATTGAATGTGTGTTTTCGTACTTCTTTATACAAGACAAAATCCTGTTTGTAATGGGAATTTGTATAATATTTAATGGCAATTGGTATTGAAAAATCCTTTACACTGGAACATGGGGAAGGGTTGCATCACAGAACATGCAAATATTCAGTCACATCCAGGCCAGTACAGACTCAGATTAAATGTGGCAAGTCCTTCAGAAAAATCAGGCTGAATTGTTAAGGAACCAACCAACTACCTTTGTTCCATACTTTCCATCCTCTCACATCCTTCTTATCATGAACCTGACTTATCTGCCTCTGCCTCTTCCCCACTCTGACACGGGCACAAGAAAGCATCAGCAAAATACCATGGATGGAACAGGTTGGAATTTGGAATCATTGAAAACTCTACCCACAATGGTCAGCCACTGGAATTAGCAGGAATTTTGATACTGACCTATCTTCACAGGTGTCTGCAAATTCAATATCCAGAATCTCATCTGCAAACACAAGTCTAGCCAGTGCTTTGATATAGATATTGGGTTTGGTTATAGATTTTTGGGACAAGATGTCCCTGTTCCCCCAACCTCTCCCCTTTGTCTTCAGATCAAGGCTCCACAACTTCTTGGCCATTTTTTTTCCACAATAATTAAAAAAAAATTCTGTGAAAGATATAGGTTACTTGAATTGAAATAATACCTTGAAAAAATAAAAATTAGAAACAGAAGAGCCACATAATTGTGTTTACTCTGGAAATCCATGACTTACCAGTGCTCAGGAAGCCAAAGACACCGACGCGGTAGTTTGCCGTCACGACGATGACGTTACCAACGGCAGCCAGGTATGATCCATCCAGGGTTGTCTTTCCCTCCTCGGCACTGTAACTCCCTCCATTGTGGAAGAACACCAACACTGACATGTTTTTGACCTGCCATGACAATGACCAGATTCATATTCCTGTTGCCAACTGCTTTGGTAGTTCACTGGTGAGAACACACACAGCTTCCTCATGAACATTATCTAAGCATTATTTAAAGCTCTTTAAGAGTGACCATAAAGAAGGAATATCTGCCTATTTGTCTGGAATTTAAAAGGTGTCCACAATTGTCCACAAAATGTCTGCAATGACCCATATATCATAAAGAGGGCACTATCTCCAGTATAAAGTAGATCTAACAGCACCACCAGCCAAAATCTCCTCTAGGCCAGCTCCTGTTGCCTTGGCCACTGAGCATGTGGTGTGCTTGTCTTGGCTAGAGCACATCTGCTCTACACAAACATGCAGGAAACGTTCAAGCAAGTGGGAAACAGCAGAAGGAAAAGGCCTGTTGGCTTGCTCCATCTTGAGTAAGACTAACTCATAGCTGTGCACAGCTGCTTGCTGCTCTCGTCTTCAGCCCTCAAACACTGCCTGGTCTCAAAAATGTCCCCTGATTTTGATAACACTCCATGCTCCTTCAGTCCCCATGGAAATTTTCCCCTACCAGATACACAGAGGGATCCAGCAGAGAGGACTTTGTCTCTGAAGAGGAGAGACACATCTCACAAAGTACCAAGGCACTCTGCCCCAAAAGAGCCCAGCAGGATTCCTGGGATGGCAAGGAGTCCCAATCTGCACCCAGTTAACACTCCTGGCAGAGACACCCGATTTTGCCCAGAAACAGAAGGTTTTTCCCCAAGCAGCACCAGGTATGGACTCTGCACACACAGCAGGGCTGCAGCCAGACTGCTTCTGCATGAACAGGAAAAAGGCAGAACAGCCCCAGGACAGCCCCAGCAGGTTACAGACACTCAAAAGAAACATCCTTCAGTGAACATAAGGGGGTGGGGGGGTTGGTTTGGTTTTTTCCTTTCCTGTAGCAGCATCAAAGTACATCTGGGGTTGGTTTTCCCTGCACCTAGAGGGCAATGGGCTCTGTTGCTGTTATTTTCTGGATAGAGCTTAGCTAAACACAGCAGTCCCATCTGTTCTGGCAAAGAATGTCTCCAGCAAAAACACAAATGGTTGTAGGGGAGAAGGAACAGAGCAGCGATGGCTGCAGCATCCTGCAAAATTAGGGGTTAGCAGGCAAACTACCCTCAACTGCCCTTAATTTGCACACAATTGTGTGCATTCCTCACTTATCTCTTTGATAAATCAGTTCAGGGGCTTTTTGTGAACATAACAATGTTGCCAAGAAAACCCAAGACCTTACAAGCACTGAGACAGTTGTTTTTTTCTCATGAACTTCTCTTGAATTGAAACTGCCTAACTCTCAGTGCCTTGTCCCTGGTTCCCATTTCTGCACAGAGAGAGAGATGGGGGTGAACAAAAAAAATGAAATCATCTGTTTTCACATGGAAATTCATTCTGAAATACAACCACATTGAGTTGTGTACACTAAAATGGTATTAACAATTATATTGATCCTGCTCCATCCCCTCAGCTCAGCATGGTTAAGCCTGAGGCTCATACTAAGATTTTCCCACATAGCCACAGTCTCCACAGCACCATGACCTCCAGCTGCCCTGTAAATTGCATGTTACATTATTCTGAGGGACTTTACACAATAAAAAACTCAAGAAGGGCAAAGATGGGCAGTAAAATTTGGAAATGGCAAACAAAAGCCATTTACAACAGCTATAGATATGGAGTAATTTGGGGAAGATTTAGCACTGGGACTGTGCACCAAGCCAAGTGGATGTAGCATTCCCATCTCTTTTTCTGCACCAAGCAATGGGAAGCCCAGCAGCTCCATCATGAGCTCATGACTGAGGGGTTTTGGTCCCATGTGCAAACCCTAATGGGGTAATGAAGTTCAGCAGCCACAGGGACACTGCAAGTCAGCTGGAATTCTGAGATGTTTCGTAATATTCACAAGCATCTTCTCAATCATAGAAAGACAGAATGGTTAACCTTGGAAGGGAATATTGTTGGGGCCATCTGGTCCAACCTCCCTGCTCATCCTTCTGTAAAACACTTGATGAGCTGTTTGACAGGGATAGATCTAAATTCGACCAAGACAGGCAACCTTCAGTGCTTTTACTACTGCACAATATTGCTCTGTAAAGAATTGAGTGCAGTGAGGATGATGCTCTAAGGATGGAAATGTGCATGAAACTGAGTAAGAAGAGTTACAGCTACAAAAAAAAATATTCCTGTTTAATGGAAATTTTTAAGTCTCGTTCTTACAATTAAACCCTTTCTAAATAAAAGCCAAGCACAGCTTTGCTGAGCTAGTGTGACAGGTAGTGATGATTATAGGTGGAAAAAAGTCAGAAGTGCCAGTTTAACTGTGGTACATGTAGCTATGGAAGAAAAATGATGTCATTTACCTTCTTCACTGCTTGACACTTTGAGAGTCTTTTGGTGACAGACAGCAGTCCCTGCACTGTGTTCTTTTTGAGGTTCAAAATGCTCCTGAATAACCTCTGCATTTGCTGCTCTCTGGGAGATTTTATATTCCATGTTTGCTAGCTAATTTAACTCTCCACAGGCTGAAAATATATAACTGTATTTCTGCATGTGACAAAAAAATAGAACTTGCCGCAGAAAGAGACAGGAAAATGCAATGCCTTCTGTTGCCAGCTACTTCTGCAAAACCAGGAATTTTAGTTCTCTCCTGGACTAGACTTATGCATGAGAAACTGATTTTCTTGATTGTGCCTACTTCTACCTTACACCTTTACAAAAGAGAGGAGAGATTCAGTTCACGGAACCGACAAGGAGAAGAAACAAGACTATTTATTCTGGTGGAAAATACAATGCTTTCAAATAAACTACCTTGAATGCAGCTCTTTTAAGCATAGATGGCAAACTGCCTGAGACAGTGACCTGATGTTTTCAATAAGTGGCAACTGCACTCAAGGCAAAAGGACAGCCTCATGCTGCAGGGAGAAGACAGACTGCTGGTCTCTGATGATTAAAATGGGCCTGCAAGGGACTATGTGTGCTGCTGTCAGATTGCTAAACCAGCTCTTTCCAGACATGCAGTATGACAGACTCATAAATTTCTGTTACAACTACCATCACCTTCTGAAAATTGCCAGTACTGAGGAAAGAAAAAGCTCCTGTCTCTGAGCCCACTCTTCAATGGGAGTCACATCTTACTCAGCATCTTCATCCCCAGCCCCACAAGGGCTGGCCAAACATTTTAGCTTGGCTTTAACTTACAGCTTTCTTTTATATCTGTTTAGAATGAGAAAATCAAGAACTTTCAAATGACAATTCCTCAGATTGTACCTGTGGCCCAGTCATTTTTGAAACATCTATTTTTAAGCTCTGTGAGCTGGCCACAAATGTAGGATTGCTTGCTACCCTCTTTTCCTAACAGACCTCCCACAGATGTCAACAGGGGAAGAGAGAAGATGAGGGGGGAAAAAAAGCATCAGCAGCTCCCTGTCTGGTGGCAAGTGTTGATGTATTGTATTGCATTACTGGACAGATGGTCTGCTTGCAGGAACACTGCCATCTCTGTCCTTAATTTATCCTCCTTTGCTGCCACCTTCTTGTGTTGTTTCCCTCTCTGTCTCTCTTATTTCTAGCTTTTTAGTATGCTGTCCTCCTAGTCACCTCACACTGCTCACACAAAGCCTGTAGGGAATACTCTTGTACCAGTAAAGACACCAGAGTGCCTAATTCAACTTTGCAGGCTTTGTGAACAGCACAGGAAAAACAGCCATTCATGCCAATTAAAAGCACTTTGGAAAGAGACAACCCTCAGCTACAAAAAAAAATTCGATTTTAATTACATCTCTTACTTACAGTGGTGTCAGGAACAAAGATGTGCAGATACAGACAGTCTTCACTGACAGACTGTGACGGGGCCTCTCCATCTCCTGGCTGCCAACATGCTGCCCTAGAGACACAGATTGAGAAAGCTACAATAAAAAAGGCTTATACTCGTCTTCCACTGCTACTACTTCCTTATACTTTGATGCATTAGGTTAATAAATTTTTTAAATCTGTAAATCTTGATCATGTTTAAAGCCATGCCCACCTATAAGTTAGCAGCAGCTATATTTGTACACATACAGATAATGCATTGCATTTGTGTGCCCAGAGCCCCTCTTCAGAAACCCTGCCTCATTTTAAAAAGCTTAAAACTTGAAAATATGCCTCAAAAAATCCACACTTTACATAAACTACACAAAATTAGCACCAGCTGTAAAGGGAGCAGGACTGGGACTCACAGGCACAGTCTTCCCTGCACACCTACAAAATCACTCTTTTGCTGAAATGCTGGTTATTCATTTAAATTTCTAATAATTTGTGGGCTACATACATTTTTATTTATTTCCTAGGGGTCTGTGGGCTACATGTAATTGTGTTTAATTTAATTTCTAATGGTCTGTGGGAAAATTTAGTAACTTCAAAATTTTAACGCATTTAAAACATCTCTGTGTTCTATGCATCATAGCAGACAATTAACAGCATCAATTAATAGTGTCAATTAATGTTAAAAGTACCCTTTTGATAAGAATTCAGCAGCCAACCACATAGAGAAAATTATTTTCTGACCATCATCTGAATGAGGTTCATCTGCTCAAGGATATCAAGCTTGAAAGTGGATGATTTTTGCTGCTCAGTACCTACTTTGAAGCCAGTTCCTTCTATTTCACAGCTTTTTCCATACCACATGATGAGTTATGGAAAAAATAATTTATTATTTTTTATCACAATTTATTATTGAGAAAGCCAAAAGAGAAAATATTCCGAAAATATGGTAATAGCTCAGAGAATTTTTAAATTATCATTTTTAATGTCCTTGTAAAATTTTGTATTATAGGTGTGAAGAAATTACTAGAAAACTACAAGGAAAAGTACCAGACTTAATGGAATTCTACAATTTATTTTTTTTTATCGTAAGGGGGAGGCTCCTAGGATGGTGATGTCACTCAACAACTTTCACACTGACATAGTGAAGTACACCATCTCCAAAACAAAAAACTGCTAAAACCACTTTTGGCAGAAAAAATGCAAAATCCCAGGTAGGAAACCTGCCAGGACAACAGGTATTACACTATTAATCATACAGCTTTCCGCAGGGCAGCAGGGATCATCACCTGTGATCACAGCTTTTTTTCTCCAGCTCCCAGGAGAAAGGCTGCCACCTGCTGAAGCAAGTCCACAGCTCTTCCAGCAGCTGGAGACTCCAGCAGCTGGCTGAGGTTTTTGGTTGGGTTGGTTTGGGCTGGGTTTTTAAAGTTTTTTAAGCCTTTCATCAAGTCCAAGCTGATAAATAAATATTTCTCTTCCATCAGTAATGGCATTGTGCTAATGTGAATTTCTTGTATATAAATATTTAGCAACATCAATATAGAATATATAGAATTCTAAAAAAATCAACAGTTTCTATACATAAAGTGAGGTTTCTCCAATTCCCCAAGTACAAAAGAATTGGTTTTTTAATTTTAAATGAATAATAGAAGATAATGGCCAAATTTTTCATGGGGCTAAGCAAGCACTGTGGATTCAAAATACAGGAACAGATTGACAAAGGTACTCAAATTATTTTGCAAATCTCAGCCAGGCTGCTCACTGAAACCCCAGGTCTTCAAGGGGAGATCACAGAGGCAGGTGGGTCTAGCTAAGCCCTACAAGAGACCACACTGTGGCTCAGACACCAAGAGCTGGTGCTGTGTGTGCTGAACTAACACCACTGCACACCTGAGGAAACAGAAATCCACATCCCACCAGGTGCCTGCAATGTGCTCCAGGCTCCACACCTCCACAGCTCAGGTGCATCCTGAAGGATGGGATCACCAAAGGCCAATTACACTTTCAGCTCCCCAAGCATTTGCCTTTTAATAGGTTTTGGCCAGGAAAGGTTGATTTTTCCAGGCCCTCCACCCTGATCTCTTGGACACTACTAGGAAGAGAATTTCTATAAGAGGCCCACAGCTTCTGATTAGATCAGTGTTTAAGTGCCCCTCTTGGATTAAATGTGTACAAATTTATGGCTCAGCAGGAGCAAAAGGTATTTGTATCAATATAATAAATACCTGCACAAATACTATTCAGATTGAAAATAGACTGACAGCAGACATTTGGTGGGGAATTATGCAGAGATTCAAGGCAATGGAGTGTACAGGAATTTTCCTTTTCTCTTGAGGTGCTAGCATTCTTTAACACACAGAGGGAGAAATTATTCTCTTTGCTAATCAAAGCATCAGACTTGTACCTAGCTGAACCCTGTAGGTTGCTTTGAGAGAAAGGACAGGAATATTGCTGTCATTTTCACACCCCTGGCTGGACAAGAGCTCCTGCAGGTGGTCACGGGGGATTCTTACCGAGCCACCGTGGCATTCCAGGTTTCCTCCCAAGCAGTCGGCTCCGGGGGGCTGAAGCGCCTCTCCCCAAGGGGAGGGGCAGCGTAAGGGACCCCCAGGAACTGGCTGATGTTTCTCCATTCTGAGCCAATGTGGATCACCTGGGATTTGCCCATCAGATACCCATGGGACGGGATGTACGCTCTTGGGGTTGAATCTGATTCTTCAATGGGCAGGAGTAAATCTATCAGAGAAAAAATAATTTGCTTTTTTCAAGTTAGAACCATTTCAGAAATGAAAATTAGTCCAAATTCCCATAGTTTTAAGCTGTTAAGTGTCCACTTCTTTAAATGAAACATAGATAAATTTACTGTTACTCTTTTCCTATAAAATACTTCATTAAAACACAGCTAAGTTATACATCCTGCTATTTTTCTCCTAAAACAATGTATTTGACATGTAGAAACAAAATTCATAGTCATGGGACTAAAACTAAAACCAAACCTGCAACAAACAATAAACACACGGTGATTTTATGTCTCAGTTTGTGATTTTGTTCTACTTAGAAACTGCTTTTTCTCTCATTGAGTTTCTCTCATTTAGAAGGTTCTCATTGACTTCACAGAATTTAATTGAAAAGGAAAATTTTTTCCTTTCCCCCTTATTGTTACCTGGGTTCTAATTACCTTTAATAAACAAAACAACCAGTATTACATAAAAAGAAAGCAGTCTCTTTAAAAATCGAGGGGAATAAACCCAACAAAACTTACATTTTCAAATAAGTATGTAACCAAACAACAGAATTTTTACTTATCTATACTGTCTACACAACTTCTTTTTCTCTCTTAAATAATTTTCACTTTTTTAAACAATTATTTCATCCTGCTTAGGGAGCAGGGATGTCTGTTTGTTTTCTTTGTTTTCTCTAGAGATTTTCCTTAGTACTTTCAACTGACAGTGGCTTTTCAACACTCCTAGGGTTATTCTCCAAGCTTAAAAGGAAGAGCATATCAAAGCATCTTCTGCAGATGAAAAGCTAAGAGCTGGACTTGCATTACTGTTGTTGTTTGGTTTTACTATTCTGCACTTTCAAAATATCTTTCATAAACTAGACTTCCCCTGTTATGCCTGCTTCAACACCAGAGGGTAACACTACTACTTCATGCATTTTTAACACAGTATTTGGGGACATTTTTCCCATCCCCTTAACAGTAACTCCTCTGAAATAGCCATGGGCAAGTGTCTAGGAGACATCCACATTGATTTTTGAGGTGAGGAATTCCTCAGTCCCCCATTCACAAGAGTTGTGCACAGACCACCACAGGTGAGGTCTTTCCTCCACAGCTCTAACCCATTCTTACCTTGTCTCCTATAGATATAGGCAGCAGGTTCTTTGAGTAAAACCCAGCAGCTGTGCCCTTGCAGGCCATGTCTGCATATCTGGGTATCAGGGTAGAAAATGCACCTTATTGCTGAAGGCTGGATTTCCAGTGTGACCACTACACATGACTGGTTCTTTGAACAAGCTGTGAGGTGAGGCATGAAGAAAAAGAGCAGGTAAAAATGTTATATTTTGCATGACAGTGTTAAACTGTTCTTAAAAGAAAGGTTTTACAACAGGTGAAGCAACAAGGATTTAATGTAATTCAGAGTAATGGGACATAAATGTCCTCAAATGCCCAGAACATTCTCCAAAATAGCCAAAGGACAGGTTATATTGTCCTTAAAATGGAATAATGCAGGAAAAAGAACTATTATCACAGGTTTTAGAAGGAGAAAGACTAGTAAAGATCATCTAGTAAAGTGCTCATAACCTCATCTGAATTCCAACTGTCCCTAGCGAGTAAATGGGAATTTTCCCTTATTTCTACCACTGTGGCACTGAGGATTTCCCAGCCATGTGAAACTAAGGGACTCTTTCTCTCTAGTCAGGCTACAGATTGAAGTAATTCTCTTTGCTGTTACTACAGCTCAATCCCTGCTTCCTCCTAGCTCTCAGTTAACCCTCCCTCACACACCACTGCCACAGGCATTATCTACCTTTAGATAATGGCAGGTGAGTTTAGAAAATGGCAGTGGCACTTTAGAGAAGCAAAACATCATTGCTTTAAGTCTTTGTTATAACATTCTCCCAGCTGCACAATGCCTGGAGAAGTAAGAGATCTCTGTGCCCAAAAAGTGTCAAAATTACCTAATTACTGTAGGGCATTTTATATCTGCTGCACCTCTCTTCAGTTAAACAACTTCAGACCCCCTCTCTCAGATTAGGAAACACTGGGGTAGTCTTTAAAAACAAGGAAAATCAGTGTATCTATATCAGAAATGGAAAAGCTGTTCTTGGATTTCAGGCTTACAAGCTTTCTGTAAAGCTGTGGATGACCATTTCTTACCAGACAGGCAAAAATCTCTGGCAGTGGAGAAGTCATTGGATATATCTCTGCTAACATGCACAACTTCAAAGTTTGAGATGGATGAATCCATGAGAACAGATGACACACTTAAGGGTTGCCATGCATCCACATACTCTGTAAAATGAACCATAAAAAGAAAATATGACTAGAAGGAGCAGTAAAAATTTCAGAGGAAACTAATATATAGTTTAAAGCATTGGGGAGTTCCTCAATGAACAAGTGTCATCTTCCTTTGCATCAACTGAGAATAAATTAAATATTCAAAGGCCTTTGATTGACTTGAAGGTCCAATCCCATGTTCAAAGGTCAGATATTAATTGGTTTACAAAGGTATTTAATAAAGAAAAAGGCAAATCCAGGGCAGCTTTATGCAGGTTTGAAGGTAAATACAACTGACTAAAATAAAAGGTTTCTGATCAGCTCTAATTACATTACAGGGCATGGGTTATATATTTGCATGTAAGTTCCTGAATAGGTACAGCCACTAACTTCTTGGAAAGTAAATGGAGGTTAATTTGATCATTTTAATTTGATTTTGTGGACATAATTATATTAATTTGTACGAACAGTTTTAATGTCATGTAACTTCTACATAATTAAGATTTCACTCAATTTCATAGCCATAGATATATACAAATATGTGCATATGTATAAATATAATCATGTGTATTACATATATGTATATTCCCATATATACATTTAACATCCATGCACTTGTGTGAGCATACATATACACATATGTACTAACTCTGGTATTCCTCAAGAATTGTCCTTCTGTCTCAAACTATATTTTTAAGAAATACCACAGTCTTTTCTCATACACAAACAGATAAAAATATCTGAGAACTCCCAGTTTTGCACACAGAAGACAAAAAGGGTTTGGGACAGAACGAGCCTTTAATTATTTTAGTTTCTTTCAGAAGTTCAATATGTTTTAGAAGCAAAAGGCCCTGCTGTGGCCAGAGTCCTAAAGAGTGGGTTGGTGCTGCCCTCTCCATGTAATTGTAGGGTGAGGACAGAACAGAGTCAGCAGGTCCTTTGCTATTCCTGGGGAGAAGCTCTTGCCCTTGAGCTCATTGATCCACACAGATGCAAAAGTCCTGACCTGTCATTTCATTAAACATTTCTTTTATTCTACTGAGAAATCAGTGACTGGCAAAGATGGCCAAAGTTTCCTTTCTGCCCCTCTCATAGAAAGACAGTTTGACCACAGCACTCAACATCAGACATCAGGCTGAGGTTGGGGGTCCATAAAAGCAACTTGAAAGTCCTGGTGTTGACAAACTTGTCCAGTTGATGAAAACCCAAGACCCAAAACACATCACAGACATGGCTGGTTGCATCATTCCTTGAGCAAATAGGCAGGGAGTAGCAGTGAATAAAATCAATTTTATAGCTATTGTATAATTCACTACAACACAGAGCAACTGCCACAATTCAGGACTCTACAATGATGAAAAAAGTATTTTCTTTTGCAGGGTAAAACCTTCCCTAAGAAGTGTAAACCTCAAGCATGAGTTATCTCATGAAGGACAAGCTGAAAAAAGCTGATGTGCTACCACCGTTTCCAAGGTGGTTGCCTTAGGGCTTGGTTCCTTTGCCATCCTCTTGCTGAAGAAAACATCTGATAGAGTGATGAACAAACCCTCTGTATTCCCCAGAACTTCACAAAGATCAGGTTTTGAACTAGAGGCAAGAAAGCAGGACTGGGCTCCACGGGTCCTTTACAACCAAAATCATTCCGCTCCTCTTATAGTACTGAGCAACTTTTCTGAAAGAGGCTGCAAGTCTACAGCTAAGTAGAAATTGAGGTTAATTTGGTGTTGCACTGTTTATTGTTAACACCACAAGCTTATTTGAGTCACAGAGAGGCAAAGTCATCACCAGTGCTACATTCAGAGGGGATCTGAATTGCTCAGGAGCAGTGACCCTGCAGCTACAGCTTGACTTGTGTAACAGATTCACTGCACTGGATTTCTTTCTTCCCTTTCAGGACTGACTATTCAATTATTTTAGAGCAACAGAGTGATTTTAGTCATGTGGAAATGACTGTTTTTCATATTGTCAATGGTTTCTCTTTTTTAGAAACACCCACTATGAGCTGTTGCATGACCTATGTCAGAAAACTTCAGCCTCTACATCTAGGGTGACACTTTGTGGCACTTAGAAAGATTCTTAAAAATAGACAGCAGTTTTAAGTGATGGAGGATTAACCATTGCATCCCCTCCAGAGATTTTCTGCCTGCATTACCTGATATCCCCAGGTCTTTCTTTTCCAGATTGAACCTTACCAATTTATGTTCTCAGTTTGTGCTTTTGTTTTTGTTTTTCTGAAGAACAAGATTTCTTTTATCAATATGACTCAAAGTTTGTTTTTACCTAAGAGCAATGTTGCCATCCTGTGCTATCTACAGCACCAGCAGCTGAGGTCCTACTGCTGGAACAAACAAAATCTCTCTAGGTTCAAACACAAAGCTTGAAATTACCAGCTGTGGTTCTTTCAAAAGAGAGTCTGGATTCCACTGTAACACAAAAAGTCTGGATGCTCCAGTGGTTTTGGAAGATATTTCCCCAGACTCTCTTCCTATAGCATCCCTGACTCACCAAGTGACCTCGAGCAAGTCTCATCATCCTCATTTGCCTTCATTTCCAACAGGCCAAACATTCAGAGGGGTCCTTTCCCTCTCAGGAAGGAAATTCAAAACTAATCCACAAAAACAAAAGAAACTTTTTGGATTTACACCTCTGATGATTAAATTTTGCCTCCTATACCTATTTCACAAGATAAAGTTTGTACTTGTGCACCAGGAATTTATTTTATCCCTTTATGTGGATAGAGCCAAGTCAGGAGCATACCTTATACACATATGAGGCACACTGGGAACTTTGCAGCCCGTGTAGGCATGGAAGAGTGACCACTCATAATGCAAACATCCACTGCTCATACAGTCCTATCTAAACTGATTATTCATTGCCCCAAATCTCACAGAAGTGACCCTTGCCACCTCCCATATGCAAGGTTCTTTGGATTGGGTTGGGGTTTAGCTTTTTGGAGTTTTTTTTATACTCTGTCCTGGACAACGCATTCATGATCTCAGGTCAGGTTTAAATGCTGAGACTCACAGTTTTTTCCTTTTCCCTATTTTTGCCCAGCTGACCTCAGATGCAGAGAGATGCAGAGACATTAATGCTTATTTTAACAACAGAGCAAAACTCCTTAACCCATAGCCATGCACGGCACCACCGTGGACATTGACAATCAGCAGTGAGCTGCTAGAGAGATTTTGGATATTACTTGGTTCTTCCCTTCTCCTGAAAACAGATCCAGCAATGCCCACAGACATGCACACCCACTTCATTCCATGAGCAAAACACAACTTTCCATGGCTGATGTAAATTTGCCTCATATAGAAACTGCTGTCCCAAGGCAGAGCTACAGACTGGCCCTGTGCTACTGGCAGTGCACAGTGCACCTGATGCTGGAAGACATTCCTGATTTATATATAGGTTAAGCACTGACCTCCCAATCCACATTTTGGCTAAGGCTTTCATTGGATAATTACAGCCCTCTGGATCCAGCCATCCCTGTAACTCTTATTGCAAAATTAGAGATCTCCCATATAGAGAGCCTCTCTCTTCCAGATGTTCTTGTTTGGGTAGGCAAGATTTAAGACTGGATTTGCAAAAAGACTCACACTGGTCTTACTCTGTTCCCACTCCAGTCACGAGATCACAAGACTGGAATAGATTTCCTGGAGACACCGAGTTCAGCCTCCCACTCTCACAGGCAATAATATTATAAAATCCTTGTCATAAAGTCAACAAAGATTTCATCACTGACTTCAGTGGGAGAAAAGAGGCATCAATTGTGAGTTTGCTGTAAAATTTAACACTTAATAAAAGTAAAACAGAGATACAGAAGTGCATTAAAATTACAAGTTAAATTTAAAAGAAAACTTGTGAAGTTGAGGAGGTAAATCTGAGGTTCAGTATGCCTGATTTATGTTTGAAAGACAAATTCTGATCTTAATTCTGAAATTTGTGAGCCATATTTAATACCCCTGACTCAAACCCAAAACATGCTTGCAGACTGAACTTACTGGCATTCTATTCTATTCTATTCTATTCTATTCTATTCTATTCTATTCTATTCTATTCTATTCTATTCTATTCTATTCTATTCTATTCATTGTTATTCTATAACTACTTCTTATTTTTGTTGATCCACTGAGATTTGTATAATTCAAAATGAGTGATTTTCTTTAAACTGCTGCATAATAACAGTAATCACACCTCAGACAAGTCTCAAAAATAACAACTGTGTATTTATGGCCTTTAGCAGGGAGCAATCTCACTATGATCCTGTTAAATACAAGCTTTCTGTCTCCTTTAGAAGTGCCAATTATAGCAAATGATATAGTAAGGGGATATTAAAAATGTACTAGGTATTTATCCAGGTTTAAAATAAGCTTTTTTCAAAAGGCTAAGATCCTCATTTTACAAACAATAAAAATCAAACTTAAAACCAAAGATGGGATAATTCCACATCAGAGGTCAAATTTTCTGTGTGGGAGTATAGTAAATCAGTTCCCAAAAATGGATAAAATTAAGGCTGTTTTTATTTCACACCAAGGATGTCTCTGAAAAATATTCAACATTGTGGAAAAACAGGAAGATAAAGAATACTATTAATCACCAAAGTCAGCTACATCAGCACTTGTAGCTACAGCATCATCTCTCTTGAGAATGGAAACACCCCATGTGCAGACACAGCCCGCTGGGAAATGTATTCTCATGTTGGAATATCCTGCAGCCACTGCTCTGCTCAGTCCTGCCTGAAGGGAATGACTATAAATCATTAGGGGATCACAGGAGGCAGGAACAGCAAGGGCCTAACAGATCCTTCATCCACATGCCTGGGTGGTTTCTCAATTAATTACTTGATTTGCATGGAGTGTATTTAATCTCAATTAAATATTTGATTACGTACACATGATCTGTATATAATCCACAGGGCCATGCAGGAGCCACCCTGTAAGGGCCACTGCCTCCTAACAGCTGCCAAATCTAAAACAGATAGACATGTTCTAGTTAGAACTTAAGACAAAAATATTCATTAAAGTCTAGGTAATTACTGTGTACAACTAATAAATCCTGTAACAAAGTCAAAAGTCATCAGGGTTGCTCCTCCCACACACACAGGAGTATTTTCAGGCTCTCCAGTCTGCTTTAAGCACAAGTATTCTTTCTATAAATTCACATATGTCTCATGGATTGCTTTGCTTCTTTAAGACTAATTTGCAAACACATAAAAATTTCCAAAAATCAAACCTTGCGCATAAGCTGTTTGAAAAACAGCTTGCATATTTGGAAAATAACAATACAAAATTACATCATTAAAAAAACTGTTTTCTTATCTTGCCTAGCTTTCAGCTGGCTGCAGGAAGTTCCATCTCAAACCTAATTATGAGACCTGGCTTTTTTCTCTTTATAAGACAGTCCACCATATTCACACAACTGAGCAGAGTTGTTATTTAAATACCAGCCTAAGTAAACCAAGACTGCAGGATGACATATGAGCATTTTCAGCATGGGAAGTCTTAAAATAACATCTGTTCTCCCATTGGAAAAGGTCACAGATTGTACCTGAAGCTCCCCACAGATGGTTCCATACTCAGTGTCATCACAGCAGATGAACTTCTACAGGGGGAAAAAAATGCTCCAAACATAACAAGTCAGACTTTCCCAGTCAGTTCAGGCTATTAATTTTTTAAGCACCACTTCTCAGATCACAGAAACTATGTGGAAATCACAACAGAGCAGCAGGAGCATGCTCTGCTCCATGCCACAGGTGTGCAGAAGTAAATGGAAGAATTCCTTCAGTTAAAGATGAAAACCATACATGTGGTTAAACCCTCTGCAGCCTGGATATGAGACAACTTGCAGACTTCAGCCTTGTAGCAGAAAGGCTTTTGCAAGTAGGCAAAATGTGCTGAAGCAACAACAAATCCATGAGAATCCAGGTAAAAGACATTGTGCAGTTCACCTCCCTCCTGCTAGAGAGCAGTGGGCTACAGCCACTACAGAGCACTAATTCCCCTTTTTCACAGGCTAATGAGTGTCTCGTGAGTGTTAGAAACACACAGCAGTGCTGTTTGTAGGGGCAATAATTTGGGAAAAGTTCACTGGAGCCTCAGGCTTTTGAGAGAAATCACAGGGCTGCAATGGGCTGCTGGAAGAACATTCTGGTCAAGACAAACAGGAAGAACTCTGACCCTCTCCTTTTGCTGTGTCTCTCCCAGGATTGCCCTTACATTGGGAAGGGTCTTTTCTTGCCTCTCCCTAGTGGCTGCAGGCTGGTCTATGACAAGACATGAAAAGAAGATGCTCCTGAAAATTATTTTTGTCATTGCAGATTCAAAGGTCTAGATGTTTTATGGTGATTACTGCTGATGAAATTCTTCAAACCCTAGACTAGCGAACAGACAGAAAATAAGCACCTCCCTCATCACCTTCAAAGGTATTTGAGAGTGGCCTCAGAATGACATTAACCAGCTCCCTCTGTAATCCTGGATTTGTATGTCCAGCTTGGTCTCTGGTCTGACCCTCCTTCTCTAAGGCTAAAAAAACTTCCTTGCTGCAGACTTCCCCCTGGTCTGAATATCCTGAAGGCTGGACTTGCCAGGAATGACTGAGGTGAAAAGAAGGCACCTTGTCCTTTTCCTTTGTCATCAGGTCTCCTGCCCCATTCAGCAGCCCCACATTTTCCCTACCTTTCCTTTTGCTATCCCTGTACTTGTAAAAAGGCTTCCTGTTGGGATCTTCCCGTTGTTTTATGGTCTCACAATGCCTCTACCCTCTCTGTTGAGAAGAACAATGAGTAAAACAGGCAAAGTAACTACTTCCCACCAGGCTGAAAATAAGTCTGCTCCTCTGGGTTTCTTCACAACACACTGGGGCTGAAAACACCAGACTTTGAATGGAGCAGCACCCTGACTGCAAATGGGAGAAAGGAATGTACTGGGCACTCTGTCCTGAGCATTGCAAACTGCAGGAAATGAGGCAGTCAATGCATTAACTTTTGATGAAATGTAGCTCTTAATTGAGCTCCAGTTACCTGGATCTAACTCTAGATTGGATATAACATTAGCTTCACAATTTTGCAGAGCCTTCTGGCAAAGTATGCAAATTTAAGTATTTTTCTGATCTTTCAATGGAAAATTTTATATTTTTTATATATATAGATATGCTTACATTCACACACACACATATCTACTCATGGCAGTGCCCTTTAAATAGTGATAATTTCTCACGCTCACCATCTGGCTATCACAGAGCAGACACAGAAATTTTTTATCTCCATGTACAAACATTACCACAATGTACAAAATTCAGTAAATGCTGGCTTTTGTGTGATGCCCAGCTATAAAACAATTAGTCTTCTATAGCACATATTAATATAACACACAATCATCAAATGTTTGGAAGCAACATTTTTGAAAATTTTCTAAAACCTCCGCCGACACAGCCAGATAACAATCTGACCTTAATAACCAGTACATTTACCTATTGAAATGAGGCAGAAAATAAGGACAGATGGTGTCCAGTTGCATTTTGAGTATGTTTCTCTGGTGGTGTCAGAGCCCCAAAGTGTCCAAGAAACAGTGCTAATTTGACTTGCAGCCTTGCTGTGCTCTGTAATTAACAACTAATCACCTAACCACTATCAGTCCCCAGGACAAACACTCCAACCCAGAATGCTGTGTCCTTGTGGGAAGCTCTGCTTGCTTGGGCTGTTTAAGCAGATCTCTGCAAACCAGAGACATCCCTAGCTGCTCTGCATTTGGAAAGATGACCTGAGAGTGTGATAGGTCAGGGTTGTTACAAAAGAGGAGCACCTCACTTGCTGGGGTGACTCTTCTGGGCAGCCTTTAGAGTCAAAAGCAAACAGCAGAAAGACCTAATCTCCTGATTTTCTTAAGTGCTGCTTAGGTCACTGTTTTCCTAGATTTAAGGAAGCAAGAAAAAATTAAAGAAAAATGACAAAATTACTACCAAGCTTCACTCTGGGGGGAAGAAAGCTTTAGTGAAGTTAATTTCCACATCCCATGGGAAAAACAGTTTGTACAGGAGTTGAATTTCCCAACCTACACACCAGGCCTACCCCACCACCTACTCAAAGTGTTTCACACAAAAATTATTTCTGCTTACCTACAAAGATAGGAGTTTTCCTTCTATTGCATTAAAGTGATCATTTTAAAAGCACAAAATCTAGTCAAAAATAGACCAAACTCGATCATGACTGGTGGTTATGGATATAATGATAAGACAGATCATAATAAATTCTGAACTGAGTATTGAAAATTCTTTGTAAATATCAAGTCTCCTGCATGCTCAGTTGTATATGCTTTAAATAAAGACAGGTTCAGTCAAATTAAATATTTGTTCTTCAGATTACAGAATATCAAAGGCAGAGATGGAAGTGACTTCTCAATTTCAGTATAACTGGAGGGTTAAATTGAGTTTCCTAATAACCAGTGCACCCTCTTCCTTTCTGTTACACACAGCATTTTGCAGCTATGCAGTGTACTTGTGGAAAGAACACTTCAGGGAAGCCTGGAGCTGCTGACAATTTGCATATATTTTTAGGGGGCAATAGACACAAAGCCCTGAAAGACAGCAGTTAAGTTTCATTTACTAAGAAGATCCACCCACTTTTAAAATATTACATGAGATATTCATTGTATCTGGAAAGTGATGCAACGTCCACACTCATAAATAACTTTTTTTCATCAGTCCTGCTAAATATTTTTGGCAGTCTCAGTGACCTCATGTGTGAGAAATCAGGTCAGCATTGTGGACATGACAGTTCTTTCATTTAAATGATACACAATTAATGAAAATGGGTAAACACCTAAATGAGTAACCTCATGGGGAACACATTCATTATAGTGTTATCGTTCAGAAATATGTACAAAACAGAGGATGGGGGGATTTTTACTGCTTTTTTTTTTATTTTTGAGGTGGTTTGTTTAGTTTTGTTTTTTCTCAATTCATAAATACACTTACCACTTTCTGGCCTGAGTTGGAAACTAACAGGTGGACACAAGTTGGGAATGGTGCTCTTCAAGTCAGCTAAAAGCAGAAAAAAACCAATACAATTGAAAACCATAATACTTGAAGGTTTAAAATGCAAGTGATACTCAATATTTTCAGATTACTTCTTGGAACTGGATGTAGCATCTTCTCCCCACAAACACCAAAAGTAAGGCTGCAAGGCTACTTTGCTATCTAATCCTTTTGAGCTCGTACAAGAAACCAGACTTCCCTAAATTTCTATGTATATAAACATTCCTACAAACACTTTTTAAGATACAGTTATGAACAGCTCATTTCAGTATTTCTGTGTTTTTCCTATGTCCCTCTCTGTATTCAGGTTTCTGCAACCAGGGGAGACACAAATTCTCTCTGCTTCCAGCAAACTGGAATTTCTCAGAAATCTGAATTAGAAACAAAGCATTTTCCAGCACAACTTTCCAAATTTAAGATCAAATAAGAATTCATCATAACCAAAACTTCATATTCGTTTCCATACAAAAGACTTCTCATTTGCTGAGATACTCCCCATAAATATTTTGTAATCACAAATAATAAATATTAAATTTCCCCTGCACATTCATATTTTGTAAAACACTTTGGCCAGTCAAATCAATTATAAATTCTCCACTAAGACATAATAAATGACCATCCCTAAAGAAGATGAAGGCAGATCAGATTTTGTTAACTTCTTCCAGTATGTTTCCCATGCATGTAACAGAGGTTTCTAAAAACTCAGAGGTTTTCCCATTCACAGAAGTGAAAGATTGGGCCTATCCAAAACTCTTTGAAATGCTACTCTACGTTCCTTTTTGATTGAGCTGCAGTTCTGACTGCACAAAATCAAATTGCTCACGAGCAGAGCTGTGCAGCAAACAGCTCACACATCAACTTAGCCTGTTCTGAAACACGGAGACAGAAGCACCTTCCTCCAACACCACTTGTGGAATACAACCAGACCCTGCATCATGCCAATATCCCACTGCTACAGTAGATCACTCCTTCAGATTTTATTTTCCTTTTTAGCCCTTTTTAGAACCTTTTTTTTCCTTTTCCTGGCTCACCAGACCTTCAACACACCAGCACAACCGATACAAATTTTTGTCTGTAAATATCTCCATTTGCATAAACAGCTGTGCCTTACTGTGTGTTGTGGTGGAAACACATCTGTAACTCCCTTGATGAATAAGGAAATGTCACTGTCTCTCCTAATATTCCCTACTTTGCATACACCCCAGGCTCCTCTTCACCATCCCTCTGTCATGTGAGAAACAGCCTTTATTTTTGTGTGTTCTTTGCCAACAAGGGGAAAACAATTCCAAGGAATGGAAGTGTATCTACACCACTTCTTCACCTCTTCACTCTTACCCCTGTCTGCATCTCAACTCCCCCTGCCATCAGGATGCTGCCATTGCTTTATCAGGGTGTTCCCCTCCTCTCAGTGCCAGACCCTCAGCTCACCCCTTCCCAGCTCTCATCATGCTTCCATGCTGTCTCTGCCCTTTAGCAAGGGAACATGGATGGTTCTGTGGGCACAGGGACAGTGCAAGGCTTGAAAAGCTCAACATTGGGTTGATATTTCAGGTACTTAGAGTGTCAATGAAGGTTTATCAACACTGTAAAATGCAATGTATTGCCACAATATGTGGTCCATCTCTACACAGCTTTAACTGGATTATTTTTCTATCACATTCTCTGGACAATATATCCATGCTCTGTGCCTTCCCTCTCAGTTATCAGCCTTTCTCTACTCTGCAAGAACTGAGGGAGTATAAAAGCAGAAAAAAGTATTTTTTATTCAAAAATTTTCCCTGATTCTGTCAACATCACCAGACCTGCCCCCAGGGGGGCTCTCTGCCCTGGAATTGTGGCTGTCCTCCCATAAAAAGAGACAAACTCAGGTGGGCAATTGTTTTCCTTACTCTTTCAGTTACATTAAATCAGAGCTTAACAAAGCAGAACTAGACCTGCCCAAAAGGAGTGGGACAAATGGCAAATCCATTTCAAGTTTTCAACAAAGCAATGAAGCTTTTGTTTCCCCACAGAAAATAAAATCCATCTTGACTAGGAGTGGTTTTGATTCCTCCTGAGAAAATAACGCAACATCTCATAACTGCTTTTCTATTTAAACACCTGATGGCTTCTTACTACTTGAAAAATACAGGCCTACTTTGGAATTTTGTCTTGGTCCTTTCTTTACCAAAACAACCAAAAGTTAATTTTAAATTCTGTAGCAAACCCAAGCCTTTTGAGGTTATGCATCCATATGGATGGTGAAACCATAAGCCAATGAGTGAGAAACAAAAGATGATTTCCTGACCAGGACTGCACAGTGAGGCAAAATATATTTGAATTCTGACATTGGCCACAAGTTTCCAATAGAATCTAAGAAATTAAATGATACTTCTTTGAGGTATTCCTATTCCTTTTGTATTAAAATTGATATTAAATTGCACCTTTCTTTCCTTTGCACATACTTGTTTGCCTTGTCTATTTGTGGTCCTTGCAAATGGATCCTGCAGCTGGAAGCTGGAATTTTTATACACTGAAGCTAAATAATAAGCTTCAGTGTGCAGAATCCCATTAGAAAGGTCATGTGTCCTGCATCACTTACCAGGCTTTTGATACCAGCCAAATGGGTGTATTTTGACTTCAGCATCTGGTGAACTGCAGTTTGAAATGTGCCAGGCACTTGTTGTTTCCTCAGCACACGTCTGGATGCCAAGGCTGTTCAGAGTCACGCACACGATCTTTCCACCTGCCAAGGATGCACATGGTTATAGAAACAAGGAGGAAAACTTTCCTTTTCCAGATAGTGCTGTGAGGAAAAAGAACACAGCATGGTTCCAATGAGTGTTAAGTGAAATTCAACTGACTTAGAAATCAAAGGAAGGAAATACCTGAAATGCGACAAGTGATTGAAATTCGTGCTGAAAAATCTCATTGAATTCATTGTGAGGGAAGGTGGGTGCCAGCATTAAAATCCATTATAATCCAGTCACAGAGAATTTCACTGAGCATAGGTCAGGACTCTGAGCAAGCAGCCTTTTCATGTCAATGTAATTAAAAATCTGCATGAATGTTGAAACATATCCCCTACTTACATCAAGATAAAAATTCTTTCAAAACCCTAGTGTAAATAATTTTGTTCCTGAGAAATATGGAGGGTTTGAAACACAGTTTCATTGAAGATTTCAGCTCATGTTAAAATCACTACTGAAAGTTCTCTTGACTATATGAGTACCAGGACTGGACATCTGAAATGTCATAGATATTAAATATTAATCAGATAAACTCAAACTGCATCCATTTTGTATGTTTAGTGCCTTAATTTTTTTTATTTACTTTAGAAGTGTTTAAAGAAACTCTGAGTCATATTCAGTTAAGACTTCAAATTTCATATGATCATAAGGAGGTAGGAAAACTGTCAACTATTTTTTATTTGCACATTAATTCTTATCTAAACTACACTGGATTAATTTTCTAAGCTACTCATTTTGACCATATGAAAATTTTATCTGTTCAACAAAAAATGGAATTAAAAATATGTATTTCTGAAGTGTTTGAAATTCCAAAATGCATTATAAAAACAGCACATTCTAATGACTTCAGGGAGAGTTGATTAGCACATGACTTCACCAAAACCAAAGCTACATATTTCTGTGGCCTAAATCTGAATTTTTAGTAACATATGATCATTGACTTTGAGCTGGGTGGTATCCAAATTTCAACACCAGCTGAAGACTTTCTTCCTCAAGCAGAAGAATAAAATCTGGGAGCAGAGGAGGTCAGACAACCAAGAAAGCCAAAAGGCTAAATCACCCCACAGTATCCACAGGCATTATGTGTTTGCATGCACCTAATTTCAGTAATCAGTCCTTTAGGTGTTAAAAAATGAAACAACATAAAAGGGAAAAAAAAAATCCCTAAAAGAAGTCAAGCAACACTTTTGAAGAGAATTGATGAATGAGAAAAAACTGGAGCTTTATTTTATTTTATGCTGTTGGAACTGCAGCCTTTTAATGACTCATTCTCATGAAGTTTTCTTAATAATTTCTGAAATGTGGAATGTGTCTTTGGGCTGAACTAGAAATGGTTATGGTTACTTGAAAAGGTGCTGAAGGGAGCTGCATGAGATCTGAAAGGGCTTGTAAAGTGCACTTCAGAGCAAAGGAAGGGTAAAATCTGGATAATGAAGAAAGACTGAAGTTATTTTAAAAATAAAAACAGGGGGGAAATACCTGACAGCTGTGAATCATTAAAAAAGCCAAATCCTGTGCAACAGGGATCAGCATCACACCAACGCTCACACTCAAAAAACCTAGGAAAAGAAAAGTTTTATCCATGGTGTCATTAGACATATCAGACACTGAGAACCTGTAGAGATACCTTTCACAATAAGGCTGAAGAGCCAGCATACACACACACTTCCATGCATTTTCCTTATGTAGACAAAACAATGTTTGATTAGTATACACCTACCAGATTACATGGTATATATGGTATATATGGTGTATACTATTTAGATGATAATTTTGATATCTGCCTTAAAAATATCAGCATAAATTGATTTGGAGCATCATTGTTAAGAGATTTAACTGGCCAACTAGTAATTAGTAGTATTATAAGTAACAATTTTCATGTCTATAATAAATAATGATATCATTTATTATTTATAACTCATTTATAAATCTCCTTTAAACCATATGTTATCTTTTTTTTTGTTAAATACTCTCAAAAAATGCAATTCTTGGATCAATACTTCTGATTTTCTTTATCTGCATAACACAGCCTTGGAATGCCAATCATGGTTCAAATTTGAGAGAGAACAAAGGAACATTCTTGTCCTACCCATCTGAAACAGCTTTTCTGCTCATGTCAGTCTTATTCCTCACTGAGAATTCAGTTACTTTCTGGAATGGTACACGTGTATAGAAGCTCTTCACAGAACTTTTAAGCGTGACTGAAAGGAAAAAGAAAAACAAAATTGGAAAAATCAGTTTAACTTTGTCATATTCAAGTACTGGTTAAGTAATCAAATGCTAGGAGTCCAATCTTTGCTTTCATATTGAACTCTGGTCGATTAAAAGACAGCTTTTTGTTATCACAGCAAAATTTTGATTGTTAAGCCTAAAGATGGATAAAAATTCATGAAGTGAAGACTCTGAAAGCTTAGCAAATTACATCACCAAGGAAAGACAGGCATTTTTTTTTCTGAGACCTGATGCTACTTCTTCCACAAAGCCTTAAACTGGGATACAGCTCCAGACTGGAAGACTCCAGTGTGCTCATGCATTATTCAGCCCATGCTGTCCTTTGGGCTCCCCAAAATGACATGACTGAATAGCTCAGTTCAGTGGACCTTTGCATTTGTCACAGCAAAATTACATGTTCCTGTACAGTGAAAACAGGCTCACTTGTCCAGCTTCCTTACATGTGCTGTATGAGAAAAAAATTGAACTTCCCAAGTATTCAAAGAGCAAATGTGAAAATTCATGTCTATAGCTCTGCATTGGCTAAAACATAATAAAAATAATTACATTCATTTAGCTACCATAGAAATTTTAACAGTAGATTGTGGCATTCCAATGAGATTCATATTTTACCCATATTATCAAAAAGGGCTAAAAACTGATATGCAAATTTGAGATCCACTTGGCCTCTCTGACTTGGGAAAGGCTGAGGTGGACAGAGTGAAGCTCATGGTTAATACCTTTCCATTCTGAAATGAAAATTAAAAACCATATCCCAGACAGGCTGACCTGCCCTTGCACCATCACATCCCAAGTCTCATTTATACATGCAGACTTTGTATCTCAGAATCAAGAGGCAAAACACTGGCTTGAATTACCAGGGTTAGAGCAGACATTATATATCCAAATACCAAAACTTGCCTATTTTATGGTACAGTGTCTGTGGTTGCCAGGGTAGCACAGTTGCACAGTTTCCTGGTATTTGGTCAATGCTGCTGTCACAAATCTGTGCTTCTGGATAGAGGATGCACACAAAGTATTTGTCTGTGGCATTTTGCAGATCTGCCATTCGACAAAACTCTTCCTCTTGGGCACAACCTAGGAAGCAAAGTCATGAATAATTACACACACAAGGGCTCCTTTCCCTCTCTGCTCCTCTTCATGTTTTCAGAGCAAAGCTATCCATCAGCAAACAACTAAAAGTGAGAATTTCTGTGTTATCCTACTGATCATGCAAATTAATTAATTTAATTAATTGAAAGTGCAAGAGAAATAAGGACACATTCTGGCTCTAGTGGCACTGAAGAGCAGGTTTACCTGGAGAGCACAGTACAGGAGTTACAGCACAGCTAACTGGGAAGATAAATTCCCCAGCTGTGACAAGCATTGCTCCAGTGTATTGGTCACTCTTTAACATTTTAATTCATAAAGGTCTCTTTCTTTTTTTGGTAAATCTGACATACAAACTGTATAATCATAAGAGAACTCTGCATCAGTCGTGGTCTCTAACAAATAAAAAAGGACAATAACATCTACAATGTCTTCATAAGTTTTTTAAAAAAATATTTCTGATGCATTCAAGCATCACACAAAATTTAACCTTTCTCAGAATCAACCATTCAAGATATTTGCTTGAAGCAATTTGTTCTGAAGTTTGTCCCAGGGAAAGAGTGCACCTTCAGAAAAGAACCAAAGCTGTCAAACCCATTTCTTAATTACCATGGCAATGGCTCCTGTAAATATGTGTGTCAATGCTTAATTTTAAAAAGGAATAGCTCTACTGAGCTGTTACAGTGATGTTTGTGCACTTAGTTCTTAGTTCTGACTTCCTGGTAGAGCTAGAAACTCTTCTCCATTTACTGCATTAAAATGTAATTTATCATTAACCCAATTAATCTGCCCCAACTTTACCTTCTTTTACCACTATGCCATCTCTCTATTTGGAGTGGTACACTGCCCAAGCTGTACCTTTGACTTCTCTTGCCCATGACAGGGGCACCCTGATGCTGAATTATGGGAGCCCTTTCAGCAGGCAAAGACTGTAAGGAGGAAACAGGTGGCCCCACTGGCAACTTCCATGAAAATTTTAGGAGCTATCTACAAAAAAAAATAAATCTCAAAGTCTAAAGTTCCTACTCATCATTATTATAACACCTATTAAAAGATTTTAGTTATAATAACAATCTTCATGATGTCTTACGTGTGAGACACCAAAGCAGAGCTTCCTCAGCTGAGTACTTCTGCCTGAAGATCCAATACTGCTGGAAAGGGAGAGAATAGTTCTGGTCACTCTGTATCTGGCTGTTGTCCATTAGGTAGAAAAGATCCTTTGTGGAATCTGAGATACAAACAAATAAAGAATCCCACAAAAAAATTAACCATTATCTGGAATGAATTAAATCTATTTATATATAAAATTCTGCCTTTCACAGCAAAACAGCTGCAATCATTTTGTCAAGCTAGAATACACCAAAGCCTGCTTTTAATAACAGAATTGTTTACCCACAGTGACTCTCCTGTAGGGAGTTCCTCCTCACTGAGCTGCACTGCACAAAATAGCACTGCCAGACTATTTCCAACATCCAAAAAATGGATGAAAATTCCTGCCCCTAGAAATTAGAGGGTTTGCTCTGCTCTGTCATGCAACACAATATCCTAACAGTAAAGTATGAGGATTCAGAGGATGTTTGCAATTCCTTAATCAATGTAGCTTTGTTAATTCAAAATACTGCAGTTTCCTTAGATTCCCTTGAGAAGCTTTTACATCTCTCAGTCTTAGAAAGTTTTCCTGACAAGCTTAATACTTATTTCAGTCATTTAAGCTCATTTCTCTGAATTTATGCTCCCACAGACCACATTAAATAATTTGTTTCTGTCACTGCCTGTGACCTTTAGACATGTGTGAAATGATTTATATCTCCTGAGCTCCCTCTGAAACAATCAGTCACAGCTATTTTCTTGTTTCCAAGTTTATCCCCTTAAATCAGGGTCCAGTATTAAAAGAAATGGACATTCTTCACATCTCTTACAAATTTCTTCATAAACACTTTCACATTTATCAAATGTGAAATTTATCAGCAGGTCTCATCCCCAGTTCCAAGACTGTGAGGCACTGTGTTACTTAATCTTACATGCAGTGAAGAAACAAGACAATAATGAAAACAAGAAGTAAAGACATGCTGATGATTGCTGTTGATGGGACCCACTGACATGCTGAAAATGAACTGTAGCTTTGAATTTTCTATCAGAAGCTAGAAAAGGTATGTTACCTGTGCTTCACAAATGATTAACAAATCATAATAGCTCTGTAGACATTTTCCCAGATGTATTCATGACTTCCTAAAAAAGGTAACCTATAATTCCTTCAACCTTCAGTTTCTCTTAAACAGCTGGTGTCAAGACTAAGATTTAGGGATGGAGGTAAAAACTGCATTCCTTGAATTACTGCAGGTTTTAATGATGTCATCAGCCCCAGCAAGGTAAATGAAGAACCCTGAGGGCTGTACTCATGCCTTGGCAGATAAATGCAAGATAACTTCAATCACTATAGTAATGCATTTTTTTCTCTCTCTTTTTAAGTCTAGACTTTAAAATACCCCTAACTGTAAAGGAGTTCTGCTAGGTAAATGGGCATTTTTAGTTTTTTAATTACTTTAGTTTACTTTCCTTTCAAATTCCATATGCAAAATCAGCAATTTACTTCCTTTCAGGGTTTTGCACATATTAAATCATGTGCTCAGACATTCATCAAGACCCCTCAGCAAAGATTATAATTTATTAAAAATGAATCAAGGTGCCCTCAGCAAGCTCTACTGCTCAGTTTCTCTTAAGATTATGGTGCTGAAGGCTCAAATGAACTCCAGTAACCTCCTACAAATTATTTTGGATCTATATATGACTTCATATAGCAAAGAACAAACCCTGGAATAACAAAGGAACTAAGAGAAGTTCAC